ATTTGAGTACCCACATGCTTTTTGATATATTTTTCATATATACATAATATACATATATATAAATATATGAAAAATTGATGTGGGTACTCAAATGAAAGGTCTCGATGAGTGTAATGTCGGAGTGAGCTTATATCTTTAAAAATGTCAATATTTCACAAGATACAAGATCATATCTTAATTATGTATCTAACGATAGAGTATTTTCGAATGCAATCTAAATATCATAATAAATTAACTATCTCTGTGAACGATATGAAACCTTGAAAAGGCATAAATTAAAGTCAAGAACTTTGCAATAACACTAAATTTCACTAAAAAAAAAACCGATTTTATCATATGACTATTCTCTTAGTAATATAGACTAAATGCAGACATTCAACAATTTTTTATTTTAAAAATTGAAAAATTCTTTTAATTTTCAATTGAAAAAAATTTTTTTTTTAATCGAAATAACAACTTATAAATTTTTTTAATTATAATAAAATTGTTACAAAAATCTAAAAAATTATTATATGTCCGCTAAATTCAGTACTATTCTAAATTATGGTAAATAATCTTACTTGTTTGTTTCTTGGCCAAGTAAAACTAATAGTACTTGAATACCTCCTACAATGCTACTTTCTTTATGTTCACCAGATAAAATAGTCTCTAGTATTAATGACACGGTTTCTTCTCTGTAAAAAAAAAAATCATTATCAATATTTATATTAATTATATTAATTAATTAAAAAAAAAAAAAAAATTAATAACTAAATAAAAACTTACGACTCTAATGTATTGAGAATAGGATCAGGATCAGTGCGTTCAGTGCACGTTAACCTGTACTCCCTTGCTAATTTAACAATATCACAAAGTAACTGTGCCGCATTAGTATGTTTGTCTGAATCAGCTTCAGACGATAATAATTTAATCAATCGTTGTACTAGTTGCTGAGTATCCAACCACTTTTATAAAAAAAAAAAAAAAAAATTATTTCAATAAATAATAAACTAAAATAAAAAAAATAGGTCGTTCTAGTATCAATCCCCAGGCCTACGCTAAAACATATAATTGTTCTCACATTTAGTATATTCTGACGCATGTCAACGCCCTCGACCTTGGTGACAAGCTTCAGCACCAAATCCATTATCGCCGAGGTCTCAAGGTGCTCGAGAAGACGATCCACGCACTTCTGGCGACCTTTAAGAAACTCTAAGACCTGCAAGCACATGAACTGATAGGAGTACCAATTCTGGTAGTGAGGAATGGATCAGGATTCAGTGACGGAGCAAAAGGGTTGGTGGAGGAAAAAGACTCATATATTAACTATTAACTTAGCTTACAGCAATATTTTTTTTTAAATGCTGCTAATGGTATTCATTTAGAAAGGTTTATTTATAAGCGTCAGTTAAACTATTAAATTTTCAAAATGCCAAAAATTATGATACTTAGAAATTAAATAGTGCTTTTAAACTGACTAATTTAGGATTTTATTTATTAATTACCTGGTCACTTTTACGGATCAAAAGTACTCCTATTATTTTACTGAAAAATGAGGCAAGAAGTGGGTTCAATGGTTCATCGGTGTCGATAAATGAATATAATTTTGCCAACAATGTTTCGGAACCTGAAAAAAAAAATTTGAGTAATAAATTTTATTCTTAATTAAATAAATAGAATTTTTTTTTAATTAATTAATTTAATAATTTTCAAAGTAAAATAATTTGTCAAAATTCGTGTGACTAAAATTAGCAGACACTTAAAAATTTTTTTATAAAATTAATTTATAATTTTTTTGTTTCTAAAGACTGAATTTTTTCAATAAAATATTTTTTTCTATAATTTATTTGATAAAAAATTTCTAAAAACTATAAAGTGTCTCTCAATTTCAGTACCACAAATTTTTTATTTTCAATGAAATTTTCAGAAGAAAAAAAATTTGCACTAAGAAATTAATTAGAAAAAAAAAAATTTGTCAAATTTAAGAGAATTATTTTATGATATTTTTACTCCGTCAGTCAGACAAGAGCCAAGTGCCCAATTAAATTTAAAAACAAAACATAATTCAACATAATCACACCTTGTAACAGTTACCATTAAAAATAGTAAAACTACCAAGAATAAGAAGTATAATTGAAGTTGCTCCAATAAATTACCTGCCAACTTTTCATTAAGAGTCGGAACATTGCACGTGAGTAATTCACAAGCTACGTTAGGGTATTTGTACCTCCATCTCTCCTCGATGTCTTCAGGCGGTTCTTTAGTGGTCAGCGATACTAATTCTTCGATAACTTCAGGCCTTGTCAGACTGAAATAAATTTTTTTTAAATACCAATTCATTTAAATAACAATTTTTTTTTAAATACCAACAAATATTAAATAACCTAACCACACTTACTATTCAACTAATTTTTTGTTCTGACTTTTACACTCAGGCACTATTTCCTCTTGATCCATCAGCTCTTGGAGTGTGACATCCTTAAAAAAATAAAACGGAAACGTTAGCTTTGATAATAAAATTACTGAGTGGGTTTTTACATGCAAGTTAATTTAGCAGATATTTGATAATTTTTTTTTAACAAATAAATTGTGGCAAAAAAATGAGAAAAAAAATTGTAGAAATTTTAATGAAAATTAATTTAGCATATATTTAATAATTTTTAAAATTTTATAGCAAATAAATTATGGCAAAAAAAAAAATGACATGTAAAAATTTTTAAAAATAAAAAATGCAATTCTTTAAAAATAATTTTTTGAAGCAAATTTTTTTGATAAATAAAATTAAAAAATTAATAAGTGACTGCTAACTTTAAAATCATGAAATTTTTAAAAAATAATTTTTTGGAACAAATTTGTTTGTTAAATAACATAAAAAAATAATTAAGTGACTGCCTAATTTAATGTCATGCAGCAAGTAAGGTTAACATAAAAAATACACACTTCTTTGTTAAGTAATGCCTCAATTTGTGGAGACAATGCATAGATGTTAGCCCAAAACATCTTGGATCCACGCTGGCTTTCAAATAAACCCCGTACTGAACTTGTAAATACTGTTAGATTCAAGTATTTTTATCTCCCACAGCATCCGGACCAAGTAATATGCTGGATTTTATTTTAATAATACTGAGCTGCTACAAAAAAAAAATATAAAAAATAATTATTATTATTAATTAATCACTCCAATAAATAATTATTATAAAATAACTAACGCGTGTGTATTTAAGATAAACTGAAACGTAAAAGCTAAATAAAATATAAAAAGTTATTTAAGCAGATCTATACTACAGTACATAAAGTTTTTGCGATCGTCACTGTGTTCAACTATACTGTGCTACATATCCTTATGCACTTGATTTTAATGCTCAATGCTTAGCATACATACTCTTATTAAGATTACTATTATTATCATTACGTTACATTAGATACTAAGATATATCTTCATTGTTCGCTCTTGCTCTTAATGTATTTAAATCCGTTATTCTAACTTATTCTCCACTTACTTATTTGTTTTTTATTATTTTACATTTATTATATGTTTTTCTCCCAACTACTGCACTGAATTTTCCACTGCGCATGCGCAGAGTTATTAAAAAATTAAGCGCCATTTTGAATTTTTTATCATTTCAGTAACCTCGTGTGTTAGTATTTGTTTTGGAGTTTTTTAATTTTTTTGAACTTCAAATTAAGTGAAATATTTTTTTATATAATTGTGTAAATAATTATCTTGATTTTTTGCAATTATTCAAAATTGTTTTTAAAGTTTTATTTTATTTGTTGGGATATGGGAGTTGACATTTGGCGCTATCTGTCAAAATTTAATTAAACTGACAATTATTTATTATCCACATTGTTTAAATTTTTACTCTGTTATGTTTACATTGATATTTAAGGTTAGTTTTTGACAATAATGAAAATTATTTTGATTATTATTATAGATAAACAATTATGACAGGTGTTTTTTTTTTTAGAAAATATTTTATGGACATGCGCATAATTATTGAAATTTTGTATTTGTAAATAACTAGGTATGTTATTAATTTTTGACACTATTAATTATTTTATTTATTTATTTATTTTTATTTAATAATTAACAAAAAAATTTTATTAAAAATTAATTTTGTTTTTTTTTTTAGTCAAAAATTATTTTCTTAACTGATTTTTAATAACTGGAGTGTTTTATTAATTTTAATTAAAAATATTTATTTATTTAGATAAATTATATGTGAAACAATGAGACCATTATCAAGGTATATAATACAAATGATAAGAAATAGATTTCGTTGGAGATGTCCTATTTATCAACCCCATTTACTAGTCTGTAACAACCCAGTGCATTATGCACAAAATTTATCAAGGTAAATTATTTTGATCTATTTAAAAATAATTTTTTGAAATGAAAGTTGATTAAAAAATTATTTGATCATTTTAATAATTTTTTTAACAAGTAAATAATGACAAAAAATAATTGGCATGTAAAAATTTTTTAAAATTGAAAAAACGCAATTTTTTTAAAAATATTTTTTTGGAACAAATTTATTTTTTAAAGAAAATTAATAAAATGATCCAACGACTGCTAACTTTAATGTGATTTTTTTAAAACTAAATCTTGGAATTTATCCAATTAAAAATGTAATAATCATAAAAATTAACAATCGTACTTTAAAATAATTTTTTTAAATGAAAATTAATTCAAAAATTATTTAATCATTTTTTCAACAAGTAAATTATGGCAAAAAATAATTGACATGTAAAAATTTTTAAAAATTAAAAATGCAATTTTTAAAAAATATTTTTTTGGAATAAATTTGTTTTTTAAATAAAATTAATAAAATGATCAAAAGATTGCTAACTTTAATATCATTTTTTTAAAACTAATTTCTTAAAGTTTATACAATTAAAAATTTTTTAAAAATCATAAAAAATTTCCAGGAATTATGGAAACAGTCCAGGACCAGTTTCAACAGTCTTCAATGATAACCTTCTGTATCAAATCGACATAAAACTCCAAAAAGGAAACCCTATCCCCAAAAAATTAGTCGAACGTTTGATAATCGAGCTCCAAAACTTTGGCAAAATCTATAACTTCGACGCATTCCTAGTCATAAAAAGTTGCGGTAAGTCTTTGATGGACGCAGACGCTAAGGAGAGTATCGAGCTGGTGCACTACTTATGGGACACCCTTGAAAGCCTCGAAGTAAAACTCGAAGTGTCTCATTACAATGCTCTGCTAGACGTGTACTTAGAAAAAGACTACGACTTTTCACCAAATAAATTTCTCTCAACAATGATTGAAAAATCAGTAGAACCCAACCGCGTGACTTTCCAGCGACTGATAGCAGCTTGCTGCAAAAAAGGCGACATCGCAGAAGTGATGGCCCTGATGGTAGAAATGAAGAGCCGAAACCTTCCCTTAACCGAGGAGAATTTCAACATGCTAATCTTGGGACATAGCCAAGCGGGTGACATTGACAGCGCGATTAATACCCTGGCCATCATGAAGGACAAGGGAATTGTCCCTTCAATTGACACCGAAACCGCTTTGATGTGCGCGTACGCCAAGCAAGGTGACTTTAAATCTCTGAATGACTCATTTGAAAAATTAGCAGCTAACAATTTTGATCTCGAGGAGAGACATTATATGGAAATTTTCCAAAGCTTAGTAATCAACGGACACTTGGAGCAAGCTGAGAATTTTTTATCAAAAATGCCCAAAGATCTTAACTCGGACATAGACACCAGCCGGCTGATCATAAAACTTATCAAGATGCAGCACACTGATCTGGCTTTAAGGCTGTTAAAGTCCACGACGGCCAATTCTTTGAGATTACATGCTCGTATAAATATATTCCTTGGATCTTTGGTGAAAACCGACACCAAGGTAGAAGAAGTAATTCAAATTTGCGAGAGAATAAAAAAAGACTTTGCAAATGAGGATCCTTTTAAAGAAGCGGTCTACTTCTACCTATTCAACGGGATAAGTCCTTCTTCAACTCTCGAGATGATGAAAGCCTGGCGCAAAGTTGGTGGACAAATCCACGATCATTTTTTCTGGCCGCTGCTGGTCCTCGAGAGCAAAGCCAGTAATGTCGACGGGATTTTAAACGTCCTTAAATCAATGATTGAAGATTTTAAAATCACCCCTTCTTTGAGGACACTCAGAGACTTTACAATTCCGTACATGTTCGGTTCTCGAAAAGAGATCATCAACAGGTTGAAGCCGCTGAATATTTCCGCGGACACTATTGTGATAGCGATGGCCGACAGGTGTATTATTGAGCGACAGCTCAAAAATGCTGCGATCTTGATGACTTTTCATGAAACTAAATTCCCTACGGATGATGAATTCCTCCATCGATTCGTCGAGACTCTTAACGCCAGAAATGACGTAAAATCTTTTGTTGTAATTTTAAGACTTTTGTACAGTGACTCGGGAAAGGTTTCAGCAGTTTGTATGGATAAAATTTTAAGGAAAGTTATTGATGTAGTACCGGATTATCGGCCTAGTGTGATGATTAGTCTCCTTCAGGAGCTAACGGTAGCTGGGTTGAGTATTTCTGAGGAAATTGCTGGTGAAATTAGGAGTTATTTAGCAAATAATGTTGAAGAAGTTGATGATGTTATTAAAAAATTAGAATCTGGAGAATTAACAGAAGTTCCAATGTCTGAGTACAACCCTTATTTGCTGCAGCGGTCTGAAGGCTCTGGAGAAATTATTCCTCATAGTCAGGTGTATGAATTGAGGAATCAGTTCAATAAATATGTTACGGAGTTTGATAATGAGCGCGCAGCTGCTGTTTGCAAGCAGTTAGATGCTATAGGGTATGTAACTCCGCCGTTTTATGCTATGGCGATTGGAGTTTTTTGCGATTTGGGAGATCTAGAGACTGCTGGGAAGTATGTTGAGCAATTTTCAGAGAAATTACCTCAGCACAATTTGAGTTTTGGGAAAGGTCTTAAGTTTGCGGAGTTGTTGGTTAAAAATAATCGGTTTGAAGAAGCTGTTAGATTTATTAAGAGGCAGCCGGTCGCTAAAGACAAGCAAGCTTTTTCTCGGACGAATGTTAAAGCTGTGGAGTCTCTTCTTGCGCTTACGGCGAATCAAGAAAGTCTTGAGAAGACTTTTCAGATGATTGACCTGCTAGCGGACAAGAAATTGTTGAAAGCGGCCACTTTTCCACTGGGGATTATTATTGAATCGTTTCTTGAAAAGAAAGAACACACTAAAGCTCTGGAAGTTTTTGAACGAGCTGTGACTGAGTATATGTGCACTCCTAATAAAATTAAATTGTTAGAGACTTTGCTACTGAGGGATGATCAGGTTAATCTTAAAAGATTTTTAGAGTTTAATAATGATACTTGGGGAGAAAAAAACACGGACTTTAGTATGGCACTGGTGAATTTAAGCATCGGAAAGTATCAACTTGTTAGGAAGTATTTTAAAAATTTAGGCTCGTTTGTTTCGAACTTTCAAATTGGCTTTTTTATTGACTACCTTGAGAAGACGGAAAACTTTGAGGCGCTTGAAGAGTTTATTGAAATTACTAAGCGCTTGGATGGAAATCACACTAATTTGTTTAAAAGAGCGCTCAAGGTTTATGTTAAGTATGATGACTGGGAAGGAGCGATGGATCTTTGGATGAAGATGCAAGAAGATGAAATTAATCCTGATCGTGAATTTTTAGTTACTTTGAAGAAGTTACTTGTTAGGCATCAACAGAAAGTTCCTTTTGTTTGTGAAGATAGTTATAAAAGTGATAGGGAAGTTTCGGGGTTAGTTGGATAATTATTTGTATAAATTATGTATTTGATAAAGTTGTTAAAAAAAAATTAGTTTTTGTGAATTTTATTTTAATTAAGACACAACTTGATTTTTTTAATAACTTTTTTTTTTCTTCATACTTATAGAAGATGTTTTAAAATATTTTAATTGATAGTTTATATAAATTAGAATTTTTTTAAATAAAATTTGATAATTTTTTTGAAGAAAAAATTATGATAAAAAAAATTGACTTGTAAAAATTCTAATGAATTATGAGTGCAATTTTTTAAAAATTATTTATTTTCTAAATAAAAATTAAAAATAGTGTCAGCTGATTTGTGACATATATGTTACCATAAAAAATTTGTAAATATTAAAAAAAAAAAAAATGAAACTAAAGTTAGTCATCTGTAATTTTTTGGACTTTTACAACAAATAAATTACTACTAAAAAATGATACTGAAGTTGACAGATATAAAAAATTTGTCTGTAATTTTATGGCAATAAAATAATTTAACAAAAAAATTCCATGACATTAAAGTTAGCAGTACTAGAGAATTTTTTAATTTTTTTTAAAAAACAAATTTGTTTAAAAAAATTTCATTTTTTATTTCTTAAAATTTCTACACGTCAATTTTTTTTTCTAATTTTTTTTGCCATAATTTATTCAAAAAAAAAAATTATTAAATATCTGCTAAATTTATTTTCATAAAAATTCCTTGTGAAAGTTAAAAAAAAAAATTATTAGTACAAATATTTAGGAGCATTCTTTTCATTGTATAATTGATATGTTAAAAAATTTGACAGCTGTGTCAGCTGACTTCACTTTCATATTAAAAAAACACTTAAAAAAAATTACAACAATCATTTTTTGACAAAACAAGCATAAATTTTTATTTATAATAAATTTATTTAAAAAAAAAAAATCATGTCAGCTAACATTAGTATTATAAAAAAAAATTAAAAAATAGAAACCACGAGGTAGAGACACTGAAGAATTCCCAACTATATACTAAACGCTACTGTCCAGTGTCCAATAATCGTAGAGTGTATACTGAAGTTAGCTGACAACTGACAATTCTTTAAAATTTTTTTAAACAAACAACAATAACAATAAAAAAATGCTTTAAAAATTTTTTACTAATTAATTTGTTGTTAATTTCTACACGTGGAATTTTTTTAGTTAAATTTTTTTACTAATAATTTATTTATTATAAAATTTGTAGTGTCAGTTAACTTCAGTTTTATGAAGAGTGTATGTGTGCGTTAAATCCGCGTTACGAAACACGTTTAAAAAAATCAGAATGTATATGTATACTCAAGTACAGTCTACAGTGTAAAACACGTGTGTCTGAGGCGGCCATTGTTGCTACATGTGAAATAATTACTCACTAAATAAAAATATAAATAATTATTAAAGTTATAATATAAATCAAACGATAAATTAAATAAATAAACCGACCATTAGAAACAAACCAAATAACAATGTCAACGATGCTCAGGTACGTGCGGCAATTAAGAAAATTACATCATGTCGGGTGGAGAGTCACATTAAATCAACCCAAATTAGACGGTGCCGGCATAAAAAATGTCGGAAATCAGCTGACAAATTTATCTAGGTAAGTTTTAATAACTTGTCACAAAATAAATAAATTAAATAATTAAAATTAAAAAATCAAAACTTCAATTGTCTTTCTGTAGGAGTTATGCAACGAACCTTGCGGTGCGACAAAAGCCGCTTCCAACAGCGACATTCCAAAACATGGAGAGTCAGCTGAAGCGAACTGGCCGAGTCTTTGCCGTAGAAATAGAACACTGGCTTGAAGAAACTCAATCTCAGAAAAATATGTCTAGTTTAAACGCTTTGTTATTAATCCGAAGCTGCGGAAAATCCTTAATTGACGCAGACTCCAAAAGAAGTATCCAGCTCGTTCAAAAAGTCTTCAAGACTTTGGAAAGCTTGAAAATAAAAATGGACGTCTCTCACTATAACGCTCTTTTAAATGTTTACTTAGAAAAAGACTATGATTTCGCTCCAGATAAATTTTTATCAATGATGAAGGAGAAAAATATCGAACCTAACCGGATTACTTTCCAGAGATTGATTGCTGGGTACTGTAACAAGGGAGACATCGCTGGAGCGACAAAAATGTTGGCAGAAATGAAGAGCAGAGACATGCCTTTGAGCGAAGACATCTTCATCTCGCTGATCGTCGGCCACAGCCAATCCGGAGACATGGAGAGCGCTCTGAAAACCCTCGAGTCAATGAAAGCAGCGGGGATCCATCCCTCAGCAGACATCTACGCGACTTTGATGTGCGCGCACGCTAAAAAAGGCAACATGGACGGCATCAGGAGTACTTTTGAGCTGATGAAAAAGGAAGAAATTTCTCTCCTAGACAATCATTACCTAGAAATCATCAACGTGCTAGCTTCCAATGGGTTTGTCACTGAAGCAGAAGAATTTTTCACCCAGTTGCCGAGTATAATTCGCTCTGATACGGACATCTGCAGGACTTTGATCAAGCTTGCTTTTGAAGGACACTTGGAGCTTGCATTAAAGTTGTTGAACTGCACAGCTGAGGATCCTACTAGGGAGTTATACAGATCTTCTCTCATCGCAAAAGCTTTGGTGCTCAACGGAGGCAAGGTTGAAGACGTGATCCACATCTGCAATTTCGCCAAAATCGAGCTTAAGAGCGACAGAAATTTCGCTGTGATCGTTCATGATTGCTTGCAAGAGGGCGTAGACTCAAGGACGACCTTAAAAATAATGCAGGCTTGGTTAAAAACTGGTGGTAAGATCCACGAGCACTTCTTCTGGCCTTTGATGGTCTCCCACGGCAAAGCGGGGAATCCCAAAGGCGTTGCGGAGATTCTGAAGACTATGAAGGAAGACTTTAATATTTCTCCGTCGATAGAGACCATCAGAGACTACGCAATTCCTTTTATGTACGGAAACTTGGACGACACCATCGAGCTATTGACTCCTCTGGGCATCTCCAAGAACGACATCTTGCTGGTGACTATCGAGAGGCAGATGATTGAGAGGAAATTACTGTCAGCTGCCGCTACTATGGCCAACTACCCGGCTCCGTACTCTAAAGATGTTCTGCTGAATCGTCTAGCCTTGGCTTCTTGGGAGAACTCGCCCAAGCAGTTTATAACGAACCTCAGGTACTTGTCTGATAATTCTGAAGCTGCTAATCCTGACCAGGTTCCTACTTCGCTTGTTGATGAAGCTGTCAGGAAAGTTATATCCGTGGTTTCAAGCAGCCAGCCCATGGCTGTAATTAATTTAATCAATGAACTAGTCGCTTCAGGGCTGAGTATTTCTAAGGAGACTGGGGATGAACTCAGGAATTATTTGGGATCTAAAGTTACTCCGGAGCTGAATGAGAGCATCAATAAATTGACCTCAGGTGACTTGACCATCGTTCCTATTTCGGAGTATCATCCTCTGCCCGACAAGCCGTTGAATTCGGCTCTTAATAGACATGTTCGTGGTCTAGGAAGGAAGTTTAACGAGTTAATAGAGCAGCATGATGTTAAAGCTATTGAGGATTTTTTGCAGAAAATGGAAACTTTTGGACAAATGACTCCCTGGGCGCTGGCTCAAGCGATTGGTGTTTTTTCGGAGAAAGATTCCTTGGAGCTTGCTAAAGATTGTGTAAGAAAATTCAAAGCTGCTTTCCCAGAAGCGTCTTTAGACGCTAAAAAGGCGATTAAGTTTGCTGATTTATTGGTGAAGAATGGACAGTTTGAGGAAGCTGTTAAGTTCATTGCGGAGCAACCGGAACTGCCGAGTAATAATGAGTTGAATAAATATGACTTGAATCTTAGACTCTTGCTGGAGAAAGTTGCTGGTAGCCAGAGTATTGAGCAAGCTTTTAACTTCTTTGAGCTTCTGAGGCAGAAAAATTACGTCGAGGCGGATAATTTTACTTTGGGACCCTTGGTCAAGGCTCATGCACTTGCCAATGACCTCCCGAAGGCTATGGAAGCTTTTGAACGAGCCTGTGCTCAGTACAACTGTGCGCCGTATAAGAATAAGTTAGCTACTTTGTTAATTGAAGCGGAAGATGCTAGTAATTTACAGAAGCTCACGGATATGACTACCCAAATTCATGGAGAGAGCAGCGCTCTGGTGGATCTGGCTTTCGCGTTCATGGAGTGCGGGAAGATGCGACAGGCGAGGAAAATTTTTGAGACTCCTGGGTTGCAGGTGCAGAGTCAGAAGATAGCTACTGCGATTGAGCATTTGAGAAAGTTTCATCCTGAACATTTGATTCAGTTGGTTAATATTACTAAGAGTGTTGCGAGGATGGATCGAGGGTTTATGTATAGTAAATTGTTGGATGTGTTTATTGAGGATAACAATTGGGAGCAAGGTCTCGCGTTGTGGACTGAGATGCAGGATGATTTTATACAGCCGACTAATAATTTTTTGAAGAAACTCAGTGATCTGCTTGTGAAGAATAATCAGAAGGTTCCTTTTGTATTTGACCCGGAGGTGAGTCAGGAGACTAGGACCCCTTTGGCCAAAGATGTACTGATTTTGACGAGGAAACTCACCCCGGTGCGTCTTGGGCCGTTTGAAGAGGCGATTCAGGAGAAAGACTACAAGAAGGCGGCGATGATGATTACTGATGACGCTCCGAAGGTATGACATTAAGCAGTTTTGAACGTTTTTTAACTTTTTTTACGAACAAATTTATTTTGAAAAATTGTTTAAAAAAAATTGAATTTTTAATTTATAAAAATTTCTACAGGTCAATTTTTTTTGTCATACTTTATTTGTTTAAAAAAATTCTTAAAACTATTTAACATCTGCTAAATTAATTTTTATATAAGTATGACATTAAAGTTAGCAGTCCATTTGACCATTTTTTTTATTTTTTTTTACAAACAAATTTATTTTGAAAAATTATTATTAAAAAATTGCATTTTTTATTTAAATTTCTACAGGTCAATTTTTCTTTCTAATTTTTTTTTTTGCAATAATTTACGTGTTAAAAAAAAATTATTAAAAGTGTTAAACATCTAATAAATTAATTTTCATAAAGGTATAGCATTAAAGTTAGCAGTTTTGACCATTTTTTAATTTTTTTTTTTTTTTTTTTTTTTTACCAACAAATTTATTTTGAAAAATTATTAAGAAAAAAATTGCATTTTTAACTTATTAAAATTTCTGTAAGTCAATTTTTTTTCTAATTTATTTTTGCGATAATTTATTTGTTAAAAAAATTCTTAAAACTTCTGCTAAATTAATTTTTATTCCAAAGGTTGAAGCAGTTGGAAAGTACACCAGGTTGATCAACAACGCGGTTGCCGAAGATCAAATCGACCTTGCGTTTGAAATGATGAAGACTCTTCTCACCAAATACGGATATGTCAAGTCTAACACTTTCACAAACTTGGCGATGAAGTTGGTCGAGAAAAAACAATTTGACGCGATTGAAGAGCTGGGCAATTTGTTGTCTGTAAGGACTAAGGATGCTATTAATTTTGGAAAAATTGTTTGTATTGCGAGGATCAAGGACAAAGGCTTAAGACATTTTGTTGAGACTTATGACATGGAAGCAGTTCAGTCAGACAATCTTAAAGATGTACAGAAAAATCTTCACTTTGGAGCTATGACCGAGGGACTATTGAAAGATGATAGTTGCTTGGAGGTCTTTGAGAGCTGGGTGAATAAATTGGCTGATAAGGGACTTTCGAGAGGAAAACACGCCATGTGGTGTTATTACTTTATCAAGAGGGATCCCAAGGCAGAGGATCTATGGAAAACTGAGATTCAGCAGAGTCCCTCGCCTCTTACGAGACCTATTACTGAGTATGCTTTGCAGAATAAAGATAGTCAGTTGATGGAGACGCTCAAGAAGAAATTTGAGAGCCATCCGGGGTTGGCTAACAATGCTTCTGCTAGGATTTATAGTGATTTAATGGAGTTATATAGTAAGTTCTGTGATGATTATTTTAATAACACTGAAATTAGTACTTTTTTTAGATCTAGAAGATTATTTTAAAAAAATTGCATTGATTATTTTTTAGAGATTGAATTTTTTAAATAAATTTTTTTTTTTTTATAAAATTTATTCATAAAAAAATTAAAAATTATTGTATGGCTCTCAATTTATGAAAATCAAGTTAGCCGACATGTAAAAATTTTTGTAATTTTTTTTATTAAAAAAATTATTACAAAAAAATGTCATTTGCAAAAAATTCAAGTGCAATTAAAAAAAAATTTTTGTTCTAATTTAATAAATAAAAAAAAATTAAAAAGTTAGAAATGTCGGCTAACTAGTATTATTCTCAATTGTAGTATTATTGATAAATTAAATTGAAATTAACAGACACTTGACCATATTTTAATAATAAACTAAGCCTATAAAATTACTTATATATTTTTTTTCTTATAATTAATTTATTAAAATAATTATAAAAATTATCGTGTCTCAATTTTAGCATAGTTAATATTAATTTTATTTTTTAAATTATTAAAATTGCGAATTTTTTTTTTACAGATTCACTTGAACGATTTGAAGACTCACTGAAAGTTTTCAGTGAAGTAAAAAGCCGATTCCGGGATAATGTTGTACGGAATGTGATGATATTGGATCTAAAAGAAGGACTTGAAAAAATAGGAAAACGTTTTCCTTATAAAATTGAATACGCAGGTAATTTTAATAACTAAATTTATTTTTATATCCATGTAAATTTTCATAAGTTTAAATTAAAATAAATCAAAATTAGTAATAAAAATATTAATTGATTTCTAAGCCATAACAATTCATAAGTTTAAGGATTTTTTTTTTGAACAAATAGTTACTTTCAATTATTTATTAAAAAAAATTTATTTTTGTCTTTCAGATTGGAAAAAAGAAAGCAATGGAAAAGGATCCCACCAAATCGAAAATATAAATTTAGAAAGAGAAAATTATTCTAATTAGCCCACGTAGTATAAATTATAAATAACTCATAACTAATCATACTTTTTAAAACCACTGTAAGAAAATTTACTTTTATTTGTATACAATACATGCATTGTTATGTTTATGGTAATTAAACTTGTGTATAAAATAAACATCTTTTTTTTTTTAATTATCAATATCACTAAAGATGCCAAACATCCGTCAAGTTTTTACAATAATTAGTGACATTTTTATTTTATCTGAGACAAGAATTAATTAGATATTAAAATACAATCATTTTTGCGATAAAAAAAACACATTACATTAGTCTATTTGGTTAACTATCAGCATATAAAAATATCTTTCGATTAAAATATAATCAACCATTTATCATAATTTATCATTAGCATTCATTATCATTAGAGTTAATTAGCAATATCGTGTCTGAATCAGACACAAAACAATCTTATAATTTTCTAATAGACAATAGACACATTTTGGAATTATCTAACTTTATAATGATAAAAAGATAATATATTAAAACAAAATTACAAAAATTCATCACACCAGTCGTTAAGGCACTGGTAACAATCGTTGGACTGTTTGGAATTAGCTGAGCAGACGTCCTTCATCCATTCTTGGAACAGCTCTTTATCTTTCTTCAGCACCAAGTACTGTCCTAGCACCACGTACGCCTGAATAATAAATCAGAATTTATCAATAAAGATCAACAAACTGATCGATGAGTGGAAAATTATTTATAAACACTGTTTATACACTACATACCTTATCAAAGCCGGCAGCTTCTAACCGCCTTGCCAAAGTTTCACCGACACCAGCTAAATCTGTGACTGGTTTTTCTCCCATCGGCTCGGCTACGAAGTTCTTATGCTTTTGCGAAGTACTCGACATTTTTAATGCTTTTTAATTTTTTATATTGATAATTGTTTAGTAAAATTTATTTTTAGACACAACAACAATGATGCAAATGCGGATGGATGATTTTAAGGTGTTTAGGTTACAAAGGCTCAACACGCTCTGGTGGTGGTAATTAAATTCGCCATCTGGTGGGTAAGTTGTAGTTTACAATTTCACCACAGTGGCGCTTTAAAAAACTATATAGCGCTACCATTTCAAAGTTTTTATTGTTGTTGTTGTTGTTGTTGTTATTGAATTGTTAATAGTGAGATTTGGACATTGTTAATCTCTGTAAGTAAAATTACAAATTATTAATAATTAAAAAATTAAAATATTGTACATAAAAATTTTAATTACAATATCACATAATTGCAGACTTAGAAAATTTTTAATAGAAATTAATTTAGCAGTCATTTATTAATTTAAAAAATTTTTTTAACAAATAAATTATTGCAAAAAAAAATTCGAAAAAAAAATTGATATGTAAAAATTTTGAAAAATTAAAAATGCAATTTTTTTTAATAATTTTATGGAACAAATATTTGTTAAAATAAATTAAAAAATTGTCAAGTGACTGACTAACTTTAATGTCATAAAAAATCACTTCTAAAAATTTTAAGTAATAATTTTTTTTTTAATTTTTACAAGTGGATTTTTTTATCATAATTTTATTGTTTAAAAATCCAAAAAATTGACAGCTGTTAATTGGACGTTGCAAACGCTATGATTGACTTTTTAATTACTGAATTTTTATAAAAATAAATTAAAGAGGTATTTTGCAATTTTTTTATTAAATTAATTACGACAAAAAAAAATTCCACTTATAGAAATTTTAAAAAACTATCAACGCACTGTTGCCAAATTTTTTTATTTAACCGATGGGTCAAAAATAGCAAAGTCATTTTATTAAATAAATAAAACTGACTGATTATTAAGCTTGTTAGATAATTAAATAATTATAAATAAAAATAATAAATTTATTATTGAAATATTTAAAATAAGTATTACAAAAATTAAAAATAGAAAAAAATTCATACGTTATTTTGATTTATAAGTAACTGTCGAACTTCTTGGAATTTTTTAACCGACAAGATTTTCGCACTACAAGCCACTTTAACCGCCAACCGCAGAACCATCGCCATTTCTTCCATTGTTATTATATACAAGTGTTACGCGGATCGCTGTCTTCTCGTGTGCAATGTAAAAGATCAATTATTATTTTCTAAAAGAAATTAAAGATAAAAAATTCAATCAAGTTACATAATTTATTAAATAAATATGTATATTGAAAAGGTAAAAATTCTTTACTTGTTATGTTTCTAAAAAAAAAAATTTTAAGGTTAGAAGTTTTATTGAAGATATTGAATTTTAATATTGAATTATTTTGATGATAAAATTAATTTTATTTTTTTTTCAGATCATCATTGAGGGCTTCAGGTCTTATCAAGGACCAATTACTATCGGTCCATTTCATCCAGGATACAATGTAATTGGTACGTATAAATTATCCATTTTAAGAAAATTAAGTTAGCCAACATTTAAAAATTTTTACAATTTTTTTAAATTAAAATTTATTTAGCAGATATTTTATATAATTTTAAGAATTTTTTTTTAACAACAATTAAATTAAACAAGCAAATTTACTTATTATAAATATAATTAAAAAACTTATCAAGTGACTGCTAACTTTAATGTCATTTTATTTTATTGAAGATAATTATTACAAAAAAATTAAATACTTAAAATTTTAAATAAATTACTTACAAATTATAGTTGGCAGAAATGGATCCGGAAAAAGTAGTTTCTTCGAAGCGATTCAATTCGTCTTGTGCGAAGAATACCACAAATTATCACCGGAAGAGCGCAGCAGTTTTCTGCACGAAGGTACATCTTCTCGAGTACCTTCCTGTTTTGTAGAACTTATTTTCAACAACTCCGACAAACAATTTCCCGGAGAATCAACAGAAAAAATAACAATCCGTCGCACAATTGGTCCAAAGCAAGATCAATTTCTCTTAAACAAAAAGCGAATTTCAAAAGAAGAAATTCTTAGATTATTTCCGACTGCTGGATTATCAACTCGCAATCCATATTACATCATCAAGCAGCGTGAGCTATTAGAAATAGTAACAGGCACAGATGAAATGAGATTGGACCAGCTCAAAGAAATAGCGGGTATCTCCTTATTCGAAACCCGGTATCAAGAAATGAAGACACTGCTGCACCCGATAATGACCTACCTATCGCGTGACGACTTGTTTGACAATGTAAACCGATGCTTGCGACAAAAAGAAGCAGAAGAGCAAGACATGAAGCAGTATGCTGAGTTGAAGAAGCAGCGACGCTTGTTAGAGTTTTTGCTGAGTGAAATGGAGCTGAAGAAATTCACCAGCTTGCTCACTAAAGCACAGCGTCGATACTCGGAGCAGAGCACTGAGCTTATTGACGTTAAGCAAGATTTAAATTCAGTTGAAGAAGAAATTTCTAAGCTTGTTAGCAAAATTAACGCGACTAAAAAAGAAATTGATCTTGTTAAATTTAATTTTCGGGAATTAATTACTAAAAGGGAAAAATTTTTAATTAATGTAAAAAATTGGAAGGTCAATATTGAGCGCTTGGTGGAAAATATCAGCAAGGATGAAGAGGCGCAGGAAGAAATTAAAGACGAGTTGGAAAAATTAATAGAGTCAATTGATAAATTCAACGATGATTTAATTCCTATTAAGAAAGAGTACGAGGCTAAAGAAGCTGAAGAAAAAAAAATTACACATGATTTGGCTGTTGCAGAGAAATTGCAGAAAGAATTGATCTTAAAAAAACACCGTAAAAAATTGTTTGAAAATAAAGAGGAACGCGATGATTGGATTAAAGAACACTTGCAATTATTAGATGAAAAAATCAAAGAGTCTGATCAGTACAGAGCTCAGTACGAAAACGAACTTGAAGTGGAAAAAAGTAAAAAACGTGATTTAGAAAATAAAATTCAAGAGCTTGAAGATTTTTTTAAATCACGGCTAACTTCTATTATTAATTCTGAGCGAACTTTGGATGAAAGGAAAAATGAAAGAATCCAGTATCAAAAACAACGGAAAGATTTGTTTGAGAAGAAGAGTATTTTTGAGAGTGAATTGAATGACTTGAATCATGAGTTGAAAAAAGCTGACCAGGCGCTTGGAGTTAATAAAGATATTATATTTGGGCTTTATAGTGTCTTTAAAGTTCTTGATACTTTTAGGCAGCAGGATAGAGAAGAAGTTGAAGAAAATTATCATGGGATGGTTGTGGATAATTTTAGCGCAATAGAAGATCTCAATACTGCGATTGAAATGACTGCTGGGACTCGTCTGTTTTATAATATTGTTGAGACTGATGAATTTGGGATGAAGATTTTGGAAGAAATGAATGAACAGAAATTGCCTGGAGTTGTTAATTTTTTAGCGATTAATAGATTGAATTTTAAAGAGCAAAATTATCCGGATGATGATGACGATGCAAGGCCTTTAATATATTCTCTGCAGTATGAGGACAAATTTGACGCTGTTATAAGTAGTATTTTTGGAAGAACGCTTGTATGTAAAAATTTGGAGTGTGCTAGCAATGCAGTGGATAGATATAAGTTGAATTGTATTACTTTGAGTGGCGCTAAAATTTCCAAGTCGGGGGATGTTGCTGGTGGGCATAAAAAAAATTATAAATCAATGATTGCTGCTTACAGAACTCGGGTTAAAATATTGGGGAAAATTCGGAGGGCTGAGGGAAAGTTGAAGAGGATTGATGATGAATTTAAAAGAGTTGAAGAAGAGTCTAATAAAAATTTAACGGAGATTAATAAGTTGGAGGTAAAGTTGATAAAAGCTAATGATATTCAAAAGAATGTTAGGGAAGAAATTGAAAGGCTGAAGGAGCAGCAGAGGGATATTGAGGGTAAATGTGAGGAAACGGAGAAAATTTTGAATGATTTTGTGACTGTCTTGGAGATTGTTCGGGGGAATAAAGAGCATTTGGAGAGTGAATTGCAGCAGGATTTACTGAGTCAGTTGACTGATGAGGATCAGAGGCAATTTGAAGAGGTTAATGATTTAATTGTACAACTGAGCTGTAAGAAGAAAAAATTAGTTGATGACTTGATTGATTTGAGCAATGAAAAAGATCGGTTGGAAGAATTTGTGAAGAAAGGATTGTTAAAGAAGAAAAAATTAGAGGAGAGACTTCAGGAGCTGGAGGTTGGGGTTGAAAAATTTAAGGTGGAGTTGCGAAGGACTAAAGAAGAAATTAAAGAGATTAAAAGTAAGATTGATGAGATTAATGAGAGAATTGATGAGGATAAAATTACGGATTTGGTGAGAATTAAAATAAATCTTGAAGAAAAGTTGAAAAAAAGAGTGGGAAGGAAAGAAGAAATTTTGGAAATTTTCAGGGCTTTAAAGTGTTCTGTTGAAGAGCTAGAAGCGAAAATTAAGAATTATGAGGAAGAAATTTCTGTACAGAAGGAAAAGTTAAAAATTATGGATCCTATGACGCGGCATCGCAATGCTCATCTGTCTTTTAGAGAATTAAATGAGAGATTAAGAGAAGTTAATGCGAGCTTGAAGTCTTTGGAGAATATTAACATAGATGTGCTTCGGCAGTTTGAAATGGTCACGGAGTTTAGTGAAGAATTCAAAGCTACTCATGAAAAATTAATCCAGTACGTTGAGGAAGCAAGGAAGCTTCTACAGCTTGTCAGGGAAAGCAAGACTGAAATAACTTGTACTACTTTTCGAGAGATGAACAAGCATTTTAATAAGATTTTTAAAAAACTTGTGCCGGGTGGGTCTGCTAAGCTGATTTTGAAAATAGATGGAGAAAAAGACAAGTATTTTGAAGATATTACGGTGGAAATTATAGAGGCTGGGGATTTAATTGGAGTGGACATGGAGGTCTCTTTCAATGAATCTGCTGAAGAGCAGCAGGTTTTAGAACAATTCTCCAGTGGGCAAAAGTCACTTGTTGCCCTAGCTTTTATTTTGGCGGCGCAAAAGTGCCATTTTACCCCGTTTTATGTCCTTGATGAAAGCGACTACGCGCTTGATCCAGAGCATAGAAAAAACTTTGCGAAGTTAATCGCTAGTCTTAGTAATAAAATACAATTTATTTCTACGACTTTCAGGTATTTATTTTTTTTTTTTTATTAAGTATTTATTTTTAAATTTAGAGATTCATTTTTTTGATTTTATTTTTAGACCGGAGCAGCTCGAATATGCGAATGAGTTTTTTGGAGTTCAAATACGAAATAAGGTTTCGTATTTGCAAAGAATTTCCAAGAAGGAAGCTGCAGCCTTCGTTGAAGATTAAAAATTCAAAGTATTTTTATTTTTTATTTTGTTTTAACAAACGTTTAATTTATTTTAAACAGGTACTTTTTTTTATTTTATTTGTGATAATGCTGCTTATGAAGTAGCTTTTTTTTTTAATATTCGTTTTGAAAAGTACTTTTTTTTTGTATTAATTTTCTTCTCTAAGAAAGAAATTATTGTATTGTAGTCTGTTTTATATTATATTATTAATCGTAAAATTTTGTAAATATTTTAATATTATTTATCGTAAGACTTCATAAATAATACAACAATTTCATGAAGTAGCTTTTTTTATAAAACAATTTTATGAAGTAATGTTTTTTATATTGTTTATTTTGTATTTATGTTCTTTTTTTTATTAAAAAAATCATTGTTTTTTTTTGTAAAAAAAAATTATTGTAATTTTTCTTTTTTTTTTTTTAATACATATTCAAGTATTATTGATTATAAAATTTTATAAGTAATAAAACAAATTTACTATTAAAAAATATTTATTTATACTTATATCTTTTTTAAAAAAAAAAAATTTTTTTTAATTTATGATTTGAAATTTTGCCGGGGTTTAGTCAGCTGTTTACATCACTGTCAGCCACGTGGCAGCACTATCGTGAGTGACACACTATACCTAACTGCTGTTGATTAGGAAACTATAGTTATCATGTAAATAAATTAACCAGTAAATATAATAACTTATATTAGAAAAAAAAATATTTACTACTTGATATACATTTTTTAAACAATAAGTAATTATTTAGTTAAAAAAATGAGCTCGGGATTTGTGTCCGAAGCTGAACTTGCTGAGCAACGGAAAGCTAGACAAGAAGAATGGGAGCGTGTGAGAACTGCTGAAGATCCAATTGGTAATTCCGGGAGATTGTTATTAATTTATTATAATTATTTAGTTAATAATTATTTTTTTTAATTGTTGCAATTTTTTTTTTATGTAAAAATTGAAGATACAATTTTTTTTTTTAATTAAAAATTTAGTGAATTTTTTTAATAATTTACAATTTAATTAAATAAATTAGTAATAATTACATAAATTAACAATGTAATTAAGAAATCAATGATGTAATTGTCTTATTAATTTAATTATTAATTATTTTTAGAACGTCCGGAAGAAAAATGTGATCCCAGGCCGCTGTATGAAAAATTACAAGAGCAAAAAAATAAACGAGATCTTGAGTATGAAGAAGCTCACAAACTTAGTAAGTTATTTATTAAAAATAAAATAATTAGACATTTAAAAATTTTTGTAATTTATTTTTTATTAAAAAAATTATTACAAAAAATTCTAAATTTTATTTTTTTTTATAATTAAATTATTATTAATTTTTTTTCTGCTAATTTCGGTATTAATTATTTGTAAATAAATAATTAATAATAACTATTAGCTGTCACTGAATTAATTACTAAATAATTTATTACAGAAAATATGATAAAAGGTCTAGATGACGATGAAGTTGAATTTCTAGACCTGGTCGACAGAAAAAAACTAGAAGAAGAAAGAAGGAAGAAAGAAGAAGAAGCTCAAGAGCTGCGTGACTTTAAAAAAGCCGTTGCTTCTCTGCAAGATAAAATGCAGGAAGAGAGACTGAAATCAGAGTTGAAGCCTCTGTCTACTGGAAGCAAAACAGCTGGTAAACATTCCCAGGTCAAAGTATTAGCAGGTGTTGTTGTTAACAGACCTGACAAGTCAGGATCTAGCCAAGGTAAAATTAATTTGGGTTCTACTACTTTTTTTTTGTTGAGTTACTTTTAATTGGATATTTATCATGATTAGGTACCAAGAGAAAATTACCTGAGACTGATATCGATGACAACTCGCCAAAAAAAGAAATAAAAGCAGCGCAGCCAACAAGTCAGTCAGTAAGAATGAAATGTATTGGAATTCTTCCGGGAATCGGGTCTTATAATGATTCAAGTGATACTGATTGTTCGTCGGATTCTGAAGCAGAGTATGCTAATCCTGTCAAGTATGATTTGTTAGGGAGAAAAATAGAAATAAAGTCTGAGGATAAAAGCTAGGGATTAGAAATAGGAGTTATTAAAAATAAGTATTTAAAATTGAATGAGTAAAAAAAAATATTCAATTTGTATTAAGATGACGATTTTGATGATAATTAAATTAAGATTGAAGTGAATAATGATAAAGATTTATTATTATTTTTTAAATACTAAATCGATAATAATAATAATACTTTTCGAAAATAGCAAATTATTATCTATATTATTGAGAGAATAAGCAAAATTTTGTGGCCAGTGTATTCATATGATAAAATGGGTTTTTATAATTAAATTTGGTATCGTTGGAAAAGTCTTGACTTAGAGTCAATTTATTATGATAAGTACTTAGGCTGCATTCGAAAATGATCTATTCCTAGATACATAATTAAGAAATGACCTTGGATCTGGTGAACTATTGACATTTTTAAAGATATAAGCTCATCCTGATGTTACACTCATCAAGACCTTTCATTTGAGTACCAACATCAATTTTTCATATATATTTATATATATTATATATATGTATATATGAAAAATATATCAAAATGCATGTGGATACTCAAATGAAAGCTCTTGATGAATGTAACATCAGGATGAGTTTAGATCTTTAAAAATATCAATAATTAAGAAATGACCTTGTATCTTGTGAACTATTGACATTTTCGAAGGTATAAGCTCATTCCGATGTTACACTCATCAAGACCTTTCATTTGAGTACCCATATCAATTTTTCATATATTTATATATATATTATATATATTAATATATGAGAAATATATCAAAATGCATGTGGGTACTCCAATGAAAGCTCTTGATGAGTATAACATTGGAATGAGCTTATATCTTTAAAAAGGTCGATTGTTAAGAAAGTACAGTACAATTTAACAAAAGTCATTATTTAATAAAGCAAAATTTTATTTATTTATAGCTCACAAGCCACGGCAGTCACGTAGTGACTGCAAAGTTGCTATTTATTATTTTATTATTATTATTATTATTATTATTATTACTTTTTTTATTTCTTTTAATGCACGCTCAATAATAATAATAATGATTTTTAAAAATCTCAAATTATTATTATTATTATAATAATGGTAACTGATAAAATATAGTTATAAAAATGTTCTTTATTAAAATAAGTAATGTAAATCAAATGATTACAATTAATAACTTTAAATAATTGTAAGATACTTTGAATATAACAATTTAATAATAAATGTTTTAATTTTTTTTTTTATTTACAGCACGAATAGTAACCATCCGCAGCAATAAGACTGCCACGTGTCGAGGCTCTGCTGATGTTTTTATATTTCAAAAACCGCATTGTACAAATAATTGTAATTGTTTACTTGTTTTCTCAATTGCTATTGTAAAATAACACGAGTTTTAAAAATCATTCTGTGTTACTTTACAATGATTTTATTTAATGTACATACACTGAGCCCTGCTTAGCTAAATAACCCCCACTTTTTTTTTTTTTATAAATAATTATACTTATCCTTATATAAATTAGTTTTTTAGTCAGTGGACTTCTTGCCCGAGTAATGACAATTGTTTGATAAATTGTCGGGCGTTTATTAACGTCGTTGAACCGTAGATAACTCGTTTGTTGGCACCACTACTTGTTTTTTGCTGTAGAAAAAAAAAATTGATGAGATTCCTTTTTTTTTATTTAATTAATAATGAATAATTACCTTTACATAGTCGTTCAAGTTTTGATACTCAATGTAATTACCACCACCAACGATAAATACAATAACGTCTTGGAATGTAGTACGATTTTTAGGTACATGTTCAATTTGTTTCAATTGCTTTGGATCAAGATAATAATAATCTTCAGTACTTGGACTTTGTTTCATTTCTATTAATTCGTCAACTATTTTAGTTACAGGTAAATTCTGAAATAAACATTATCAATTATTTTTAGAATTAAATATTATTAATAATTTTTAGAATTCAATTTTATCAATAATTTTTCACATTAAATATTATTAACAATTTTTATAATTACAAATTATTTATAACTTTTGATAATAAAAATTATTAATAATTTTTGTAATAAAAAATTATCAATTATTTTTTTAAATAAAATATTGTTAATAATTAATTAATATTAAAATTATCAGACATTTAAAATCATTAAGAAAATACTTTTTTTTTTATAATAAATTATTAAAGAGATAAGAAATTTTTTTTTAAATTTATAAGTCAAAATTTTTTTAAATCATTAATGCAATATTTTTAAAGTACATACTAATTAATTTTCATATGAAATAAAATTATTCAATGTCTTCTAATTTCAGTTTGATATAATTAATTAAAAATACTTACATGTTTTTTAACGACAAGATTTTTCACTCCTTCCATCACAAACGACGAACCCTGATTCATAAGTTTAGAAAACATACTAACAGTTTTAGTACCACCACCTTCATAACTATTTTGAATACCTGATAATTTTGTGTATCCCCTGAAAGAACAATTACATTAATTACACAACAAATAATGAACTAAAAAAAAATAATATGTTGAAAATTAAAAAATAAAAATACCTCCATCTCTTTATGTACATAAGTGGATTGAGATCGCATCCAGCATTGGCTAACGCAGCTTCATGCTTGTTGAACTCAACTTCCGACATGTTTGTACAGAGGTAATAAATAATAAACAACCGAATTTTATCCTCAGGCGTACCAGCCTCTGGGTCATTAATAATATCAAGAATGCTGCGGTCTAAAGTTTGCTTGCTCATTATTTTTTCTTCTATTTCAAAGAACGTGTCAAGTCGACGTGACTTTATGGAATTTAGAATTCCCGTGGCGATTGTCGTGTGCATGTCAATCAGCCGCTTCATGTCCAATAGTTGCGGTAAAGAGTTCACTGCATTTGTCAGCCGGGCTGTGTTGTTGGCTACCATATTACCGGGTATGTCCATATCACCGTCAATACCCTGTTTAAATATTTATTTACATTTATTATTAATAAATAAGATACCGAAATTAACAAACATCTAATAATTCTTAAAACATTTCTTTAATTTTAAATTTTGTAAAATTAAAATTTTTAAATTAAAAAATATTTTTAAAAATTCACACTTATAAGTGTGTTTTAATAATTTTTAAAACTTTTTGCATGCAGAATTTTTTGTAAAATTTTTTTCATTACAATTTAATTGTTATAAAAGATATTAGATGTCTGCTAAATTCAGTATCACACAATAAAATTGATAGAATTTTTTAATAATTTTATAGTAATAAAATTTTTACCATGTTAAGTAAAAGACCCAGTTATTGACACTTGCAATTTTATTTTAATTGAAATAAATAAGTCACCTCTAATAAATTAATAATTATAAATTTCAAGATAGTTATTTTTTTAAGAACATTTTATTTTTTTAAATAGAATAAAATTGCAAGTGTCAATAACTGGGTCTTTCACCTTAGTTTTTTATAAATTGTAAATAAACCGACTAGTTAAACAAAAATAACTATTAGTAAAAGCAAATAAGAGATAACTCGTGAGAAAGGCTGCACTAGCGAGTAAAAAGAAAAGAAATAGCAGAAACTATATGTTCGGAGTGAACTACCTTAATTTATATTAAAATAAAAAAAATTGGCAGCTGTCTAACTTCAATATCATACCCAAAAAAGATTAATTTTTGTTAATCTTAAAATTGAATACAAACCATCGAGCTTTTAAGTTTTTTAACTTCTTCCTCGCAGACGCGGTACTGCTCCAATTCTTCCTGAATGGCCTCAGCGACCCGAGGAAAGGGACTGCCTTTATGCTGAGACCAAAAGCGGTCGGTATTATTAAGCTCGCAAGGTCGAGTTTTGGACCTGGCGCCTCCAGCTGGAGATCGCCCAACATTTTCTTCAACCACCAGCCGATTGAGCGCCAGCTCAAGAACGTCGTGAGCCAGCGCCTGATAGGTCCAAGTGTGATGCAGCGGCGTCGCCATGTCGACACTCCGGTCCAAGACTATCAAGAGCGGTCGCTGAAATGAAAAGTGTCCAGTACCCCCGACTTCACCTTGGAACAAACTGTTCCTTGTGTCCCAGACATTCTCTCTGAGCTTTTTGTCCAGCTTCTTGGCAACCATCTCTGCGGCGTTACCACGTGGGCACCGGATTATTGGAACAGTTCCTAGAGTTACGAAGACTGAGAACAGGCTGTCGACTATAATGTCCATGATTGATTCCATCTCGGTGTCCTTAATCTCTCCGCGGTTTATCGCGTGGTAGGATATCATATCGCTGTTTTGATGCCTCAGAACGAACATATCATCTTCCAAGGTAATAAAGTTGAGATACTGATCGAAGACTTTGTGGATGTTGGCAACTGCACCGGCTAAAAGTGCTGCTGATGCCAGGTCTTCCATTTTTTGTCGAGATATTGGGGATATAAAATTCAAGTGATAAATGTCGTACAAACCACTTTGGAAATCTTGACCGATACGACCTATGTTTTCTTCTGTTGGAGCGCAGAAATATATTGCTGGGACTTCGGGGATTACATCTCTGTCTGAATGTAATTGCCTGGAAAATTTAAGTAATTAGTTACTAGCAACCTTGCAGTCACTATGTGACTGCTGTAACTTGTGAAATATAAATAAATAAAATTTTGCTTTATTAAATAATGACTTTTGTTAAATTGCACTCTCTTTTCTTAAATATTGATGTTTTTAAAGATATAAGCTCATCCTGATATTACACTCATCAAGGGCTTTCATTTGAGTATCCACATCCATTTTTATATATTTTTCATATATACATATATATAAATATATGAAAAGTTGATGTGGGTACTCAAATGAAAGGTCTCGATGAGTGTAATGTCGGAGTAAGCTTATATCTTAAAAAATGTCAATAGTTCACAAGATATAAGATGATTTTCTAATTATGTATCTAGAGATAGAGCATTTTCGAATGCAGTCTAAATACTTATCATAATAAATTGATTATCGGTGAGAATGATATGAAACCTTGAAAAGGCACAAATTCAAATCAAGATCTTTGCAATGTCATCAAATTGCATTAAAAAAAAAATGATTTTGTCATATGAATATCCTGGACATAAAATTTTTCTCATTTTCTTAATAATACAGATTAAAATTTTTAAAATAATTAAATTATTATGAAAAATTTTTACGTCTAGAAATAAGAAAAAAATTATGAAAATGAAGTTAGCTGACATTTCAAAATTTTTAGAAATTTTTTATTGAAAAAATTTCAATTAAATAATTTAAAAAAAAATTGTCACATGTAAAAAACTTGAAAAACTATAAGTGAAATTTTTTTAAAATATTTTTTTAGTTGTAATTTAATTAAAAAAAAAGAAATCAAAAATTTTTAGACGTCTGCTAACTTCAGTGTTATAAAAAATTACAGGTGCAAATTTTTATTAATGTTTTCTTTAATGAATTTATAATAAAACTAAAAAAATTATCAATTGTCAGCTGATTTTAGTATCATAAAATTCTATATTGTTATAACAATAACAATAACAAGTTTAAAAACTTAAAAAAAATTTTTTTCTCAAGTTTCATGATAAAAAATTTTTTAAGCTTATATTTAATAAATTGATGACGGAGTGATTAGATAAAAATAATGAATTACTTACATGTGCAATGTTATACCTAAGTCACGTAATTCTTTGACAGAAATCAGCGGTGAAATAATATCTTGACCTACACGGTCGTAAATTAATATTTTCCAGGTTGGAACAGCTGTCGTGGCTTTTGTCTCCTGCTGGTTTAAATTTAACATTTGCTTCAGAGCATCTAAAAAATAAATTAATTGATAATTAACTCAATATAAACATAACCAAGTTTCATAAATAAATAATTAGCTGTAAAAAATTATTTTTAAAACTCACGGATTTGTTTTTCTCGAAGCGTCATCATTTTTGCAGAGAAATAAAAAATTAATCTAATAAATTTTTATATTTGTTTTTAGTAATAGGCAAAATATAAATTATAATTGTGGTGACGTTGATCAAATATGTTTTCTGTCACTCACTTGTTGTGTATTCGACGTCCAATAGATTGACCGCTGCGCTCTCTGTATATAATTACAATAATAATAATAATAATAATAATAATAATAAATTAATAAGCAGTTAATTATATATAAATTGACTAATCAGTTGTTAAGTAACACTACCAACTGTTACTTCTCCATGTTGGCATTTTTACAATTGTTAATTTCTTCTGTGGCGGTCCTGCCGCCTCGGTCGCGCTCCCAGCGACCAGAAGTCAAAACAAATCTACCAAAGCGCCAATCGTCGGAGCGGGAAACTCTCTCTCTCTCTACAATAAACAGTCCCACACAAATTCAAATAATCCCGCCTTTCTGCACGCCATAGCTGTGGCGTGACTGTGCAGTATTATTATTATTATATTAAAAATTGTGACCTGACTAATTATAAGGAGAGACGCTAAGTTTTTATGTAATAAATAAGTGAATAAATATTTTCAAACACGAATTATTCTTGCAATATTATTATCATTATTAGTATATAGTGTAGTACACCTTAACAACTACACTTCTACTGTTATGCTTCCATCTAGTGGATGTTATTTTTATTATTTATTGAAAACTTTACTTACTGTAGTTCTTTCGCCCGGGAGTATTAAAATACTCGGTTTCAGCGCGGGAAAGGAATAATTTTAAATAAAAGAATTCTATTTAGACGTTATTTAATTTTGATCAAAATTATTTAGTTGGTTTTAATTTATTATTCAAGTTGACAAAATATTAAAAGCTTGAAAATATAAAATTGAGGTTTACAATGACGTGATCTTTACAATCTAAGCTCTCGATGAGAAGTGTCGTTACATAGTTTTTCCGGAGAGCTTCAAACTCCGTTCTTCTCCCACCATAACTCCCATACATATATCCACTCTTGTACATATATAAGTACACATATATACATAAGGCCACTTCATAAGAATCACACTTGACGAGCCATCGTTCACATGAGTATATACCATGTTGTGGTTATTTATTTTTGTCGATTAGAACGTGAATAAAAAAACAGTGAACGTAGACCGCAAATAATTGCAAGATTATTGTTAAGAGGTTAATTGATTACTTAAATAATTGTTAATTAATATCTCGAAAATTTTAAGAGATTAAATTATTTAATAAGATTTTCTGGAGGTTAGTTATAAAGTAAATTTATGAAACTCATTTTTTTTAATTATTAAAAACAAAAATGTATACTTGTTAAATTAATAAAAAATTTTGCAAATTTTAAAAACAAAATTTTCAAAAAATCTAATTTTAATAAAAATTTTTATGACACTGAAATTAGCAGGCATTTGACAATTTTTGTTTTTTTAATTAATTTACCAGATATTTGATAATTTATTAACAAATAGGTAAGTTATGGCAAAAAAATTGACATGAGAAAAAATTAAAAATGCAAATTTTATAAAAACAATTTTTCATAACAAATTTGTTGGAAAAAAAAAAAATTAAAAAATGGTCAACTGACCGCTAACTTGAATGTAAATTTTTTTATTTGTTTTGAAAAATAAACTAGGACTAGAAAATTATTTTAGCAGATATTTGATAATTTAAAAAATTTTTGTAATAAATAAATTATAGCAAAAAAAAAAAATTATTTTAAAAAATTGACATGTAGAAATTATGACATTAAGTTAGCTGTCACTTTACCAATTTTTAATTTTATTTAATAATTAAATTAATTCTAAAAAATTGCATTTTTAATTTTTTTTAATTTTTACATGTCAATTTTTTTTCGTATTTGCTTTTTTTTTTTTGCCGTAATTTATTTGTCAACAACTGTTCTAAAAATGATCAGTAACTCCTAAATCAATTTTCATGTAGAAATTTTTAAAAGATAAAAATGGATTTTCTAAAAATAATTAAAAAATAATCAAGTGACTGCTAACTCTAATGTCATAATTTTTCTTATAATTTATTTGCTAAAAAAATTATAAAAATTTTTACTGAAATAAAAAAAAAATCAAACTAACTACAGAATTTACAAATTTTTTCTTTAGGTGAATTATCAATTAGCAACAATGAGACTTTCAGCAAAAAATAAATGGCTTGACAAATTTCACCATGGATTTGTATATTGCTGTATGGGATTGAGCGCAATAACCTTGGTAGGGCTCGCTCAAATGGGCTACGATTACTACTTTAATGTAAAACCCGCTCTCCAAGCAGAGAAACTAAAAAAGGAGCGAGAATTACTCAGAGAAGGCAGCCCCTTCATCTCAGAAGCTGAAGTAGCCAGCTCTTAGTCATAAACAACTTTAGAAAGAACTAAAAATGTATCAAATAAATAAGGATAATTATCGTATATCGTAAAAAGATTTATTTTGTACAAAAATTTATAATAATAGACTTATGTAGAAGATTTGTTCTATTTTTATTTAAGCATCACTGAATGTTCAAGTTATAAACTTTAATTTTTATTTAAATGTAGATTTAAAAATTTAACAAAGCTCTTCAATTAAATCACATTTAATTTTATTGGCAGTTTTATTAAATTTTACATTAGCCTTACGTTTATCATTCCTTATAATAATAATTATTTAATAATTGAGTAAAAAACTGTCAATTGCACGAGATAAAGTGTGAAGTAAATAAAAAATATTATTTACATTAAATGTTAAGAAATAAACAAAGTTCCGTACTTTTTATCCTATAACTTTAAAATGCATCACTTGGTTAATTACAAACTTACAATTATCGCTTAATATTTCCATAAATCAATAAAAAAAAAAAAAAAAAAAAAAAATCTCGCCTAGACGTTTAATATTTGTAAACAATTTTCAAATAATAACTTATTTTGTTCACACGTCCGCGGCCTTAAGTCTTTAAATATAAAGATTATCGTATCATATTCTAATAAAAATTAACTTAAAATATTTACAGCTTAATAATAGCTATTTTTATAATTTGTATATTTTTTTTTGCTGACATGAGTATACCGTATACGATAATGTCTTCATTTCTGTCTTATACGTAGCAGTTTGTACACAATAGAATAATTGTTCAAGTAATTATAATCCAGGACGGAATGGATATTTATGAGCTATTTGACGAAGGTGAGGTGCTAACACTGTTGTCTATTCTCATAGAGTCTATTTTAGCGACTATCTTCAATGCTGGACCTAGTTTGATGCTCATTGCAGACATCAAGTGATCTTCTTTGAGCAACATCAGAGCTTGACCGTCGATCTCCTGGATTGCAAAGTCCTCTGCGTAGTCTGAACACCCTGGTAAGTTGCGAATAAAGTCGCACACTTCGTTGACCTGATAAAAATTACAATTTTTATAAATTTATCATTTTACTCTTAAATTACATGATTTTCTATTTTTATAACAAATTTAGTGCAATAAAAAAAATTTTTTATAATTTTCAAATGCTCTATCTCTAGATACATTATTAAGAAATATCCTTGTATCTTGTGAAATATTGACAATTTTTAAGATATAAGCTCATCCCAATGTTACACTCATCAAGACCTTTCATTTGAGTACCCACATCAACTTTTCATATATTTATATATATTATATATATGTATATATGAAAAATATATCAAAAATGCAAGTGGGTACTCTAATGAAAGCTTTTGATAAATGTAACATCAGGATGAGCTTATACCTTTAAAAATATTAATAATTAAGAAATGACCTTGTATCTTGTTAACTACTGACATTTTTAAAGATATAAGCTCACCTTGACATTATACTCATCGAAACCTTTCATTTGAGTACCCACATCAATTTTTCATATATTTATATATATTACATATATGTATATATGAAAAATATATCAAAATGCATGTGGGCACTCAAACGAAAGCTCTTGATGAGTGTAACATCAGGATGAGCTTATATCTTTTAAAACGTCAATATTTAAGAAAGTACAGTGCATTTTAACAAAAGTCATTATTTAATAAAGCAAAATTTTATCTATTTATAGTTCACAAGTCACGGCAGTCACATAGTGACTGCAGTGTTGGTACTATTAATTAACTTCATTTTCCATTAAATTAAATATAATTCATCAAGAAGAAACACTTACCGTCCATTTGATAGGATTAATTTTAGGAGTAAGATCTTCAATAGGCAGAACTGATTTTTCTTCAACAATTTTCTTCGCTGGATCATCTTTCTTGCTGTCAACATCCATGTCCGTCCACTGTTTGTCTGCAGCTTCACGATCACGCGTTTCACGTTTTTTACTACAAAAGAACAAAAAAAAATAAATAAAATTACCATAAAATTCAATCAAAAAAAATAATTTCTACTACAATAAAATCAACAAACCTCTTTGCACATATTGAAGAACAGAATCGTTTATCTTTCTTGAATTTACTGGTATGTTCATCAAAGTTATTACCACACGCTTCGCACTTGGACATTGTCTCATTTTCATTAGAGTAATTAGCAGTATGTTTTTTCCCTGAAACAAAATAAAAAATATAATAGTTAAAATTAATATTTTTATAAAATATTCAAGAAGAAAAGAAGAAGCAAACAGTACTTTTCTTACTTGGAGGTTCTTCATGGGAGTCTTTTTCATTGATATTGTTGTTTCTGTTTAATAGATTCGATTCTTGGGTGACTGATCCGTTTAGCGTGGATCGATTCACTGCAAACGGCTCAGAAGCTATAATAATAATATTTATTAATTTAAATGTAACAAAAACTTGATAAAATTTAAGGATTATTTAAGTTTTTTTTTAAACTAAAAAAAAATAAATTACCTTCTTGGATGACAAAACCCTCGATGACATGAGTCAGGACTTGTGGTTTAACCAAAGCCTTTGGAAGAGCTTGTTTGCCACTCGACGTCGGAGTAGATACAGCATTTGCTGGTTCATCAGTAATTCCATTGGTGATTGAGTTTACAGCATTGGCTAAATTAACCAGTGGATTGTTGGAGAGTTTATCATCAGTTTTAGCGGCAGTTTCTTCTTTAGCTGATTGTTTAGATTCATCTATAATTATTTGAATTAAAAATTCAACTATTTAAATTAAAAAAAAAATAATATAATTATTTAAGTATAATTTTTATTATAATTTAATAATATAATTAAATAATTAAAATTAAAATTAATTTTAAATATTAAATATTAAATTTAATTAATTTAAAACTAATTAAAATATAATTATACAAATAAAAAAATTAATTTTATATTAATTAAGCTCTGCTAATTTTTCTTTAATAAATATTCTCAATATTGGTCAATCATAATAAATTAATAAATAATTTTTTACCTTGACTAGGAGCAGAAGCTTCTTTAGCTTCTTCCTCTTTCTTCGGAGTCTGTCTCGCTTCTTCAGTAGCACAATTTTGCTGCAACACAACCGAGCCCTCAGTAGCTTGATTTCTATCACTAGCGACTACCATAGGAGTGCTAGCGTTGTCTTGGGGTGGAGCAGGAACTTCGCTGGGTTGAGCCAGAATCGGCATCGCCTGGACCTGGGGAGTTCCTCCGACCATTTGGTTCCCAATAATCGCAGAATTAATTGCCTAAAATTGGATGTTAAAATTAAAATAAAATTTTTTTAATTGTTTGAATAAGTGTCGGTATAGTTTCATCAAATATTTTTAATAAATTTTATCTGGAACTTGGACCAAAAGAGATTTATTTTAAACTTCTTCAGGCAATTTACTAAACAAAATATAAATAAATATATATGTGACAATAATCAACCTTATATAGTCCATAGTATCGAAACAAATAGAGTTTAGATAAAACAAGTATTAGATAATTTTAATATGTGGAATTTTTTTAATAAATTTTTTTTGTAATAATTTTATTATAATAAAATTAAAAAAAAATTCTGACAATTTATTTCAATGTCTTCAAAATATAATACTAACTGCTGGGCTGACAACAGTCAATTCTAAATTTATATAACAAATCAATTACAATAAAAAAAAAATTATTGAAAAATTTTATAATACTTCTTTTCTAAACTTTATTATTTGATTTGACAGTATGAACTATGTAAACAACTATTTTTATTCATTATTGTTTAGTATATTTATCTAATTAATTTTTTTATTTTTACATCGCCTAAATATTTATATATTTGATAAATATATAAAATATATGAAAAATTGATGTGGGTACTCAAATGAAAGGTCTCGATGAGTGTTATGTCGGGATGAGCTTATATCTTTAAAAATGTCAGTAGTTAACAAGATGCAAGGTCATTTATTAATTATTGATATTTTTGAAGATATAAGCTCATCCCGATGTTACATTCATCAAGAGCTTTCATTTGAGTACCCACATGCATTTTCATATATTTTTCATACATACATATATGTGATATATATAAATATATGAAAAATTGATGTGGGTACTCAAATGAAAGGTCTCGATGAGTGTAATGTCGGGGTGAGCTTATATCTTTAAAAATATCAGTAGTTGACAAGATACAAGGTCATTTCTTAATTATGTATCTAGAGATAGAGTATTTTTAAATGTAGCCTAATTAAAAAAACCGATTTTATCATATGACTATCCTGGAGATAAAATTTGTCTTATTCTTTTAATAATATAGATGAATGTATCTTACAGGCATGGACAGCTGCTGGACCGCAGGCATGTTCGACTGCTGGACCTGTCCCATCTGCAAGGTTGTTGCAACGCCAACCCCAACTCCACCCATTGACACTACCGGCATGATGGGTCTTTCGGTTCCGAGAACGACGCCAGGCTGTTGCTGAGATGGCTGGATAGCCATGCCTGGACACCACATGCCTAAGTTAATGCCACCGTTCATGAAACGAGGGTAGGAAAAACGTTGAGGTGACATACCCATCAGCGGCTTCGGTTGTATCTGTTGCTGGGTGGATTGGGCTTGCTGCTGCTGCTGCTGCTGCTGCTGTTGCTGTTGCTGTTGCTGTTGCTGTTGCTGTTGCTGTTGCTGTTGCTGTTGTTGGTGCTGCTGCTGGAGCTGCTGGAACTGCTGGTGCTGCAATTGCATCTGTTGCATGATCATTTGTTGGTACTGTTGATTCGAGGTCTGCAAGGTCGCCTGGGCTTGCTGCTGGACCTGTTGCTGTTGCTGTTGCTGGGCTTGCTGTTGAGCCTGTTGCTGGGCCTGCTGTTGCTGTTGCTGCTGCTGCTGCTGTGGTGATTGCATTACTGTTTTGTTTTGTTGCCCAAAGTTTTGTTTGTCAGCAGTGGACATAGGTGAGCCAGGTGGTTGCGCAGAAGTAACCACCGGTGAATTCGTTGTTATAAGTACTTTGTTACTGTTTCCGGTATTATTTGTAGCATTGGCCTGTTGTTGCATTATCATTGTAGCGTGATGGACATTAGATTTCGTTTGATTGGCTGCATCGGCTTTTGTTGTGCCTTGTGAGGCATTTGTTCCGGGACTTGTGCGAACCACCGGCTTACCACGGCCTTTACCGCCACTCCCACTGCCCTTGCCGCTCTGAATAATAACAAATTATATGAAATAAATCCAGTTTTATTTATGGACACTTTAAAAAATTTTTGGTCGTTTATTTTTTAATTAAAATTAAAAATTTTTATTTTTCAATTTCTTAATTTAAAAATTTTAATTCAAATTTTTCAATTTTTATTAATATTTTTTAATTTTTATCAAAACTTTTGAATTTTTAGATTTTTATCAAAATTTTTTAATTTAAAAATTTTTCAATGTCTCAACTTTAAAATTTTAATAAAAATTTTTTAATTTCAAAAAATTTTTTTTTAATTTTAATAAAAATTTTTTAATTTCACGGAAAGAACAAGATGATACTGGATATCATCCCAGATTATACTCAGTGATATCTAGTATAATCCTATTATAGCTAGTATACTCAGTGATAACTAATATAATCCAGATTACAATGAGTATAATCCAGATATCACGCAGTATAATTTGGATTTTTCTAGCAACTATCTAAAAATTTTTGGTTCACTCAGTATAATCTGGGATGATATCCAGTGTCATCTTGTTTTTTCCGTGTTCCTAATTTTTAAATTTTAATAAAAATTTTTCAATTTCTTAATTTTAAAATTTAAATTTTTTTTTTTAAATTAAAAATTTCATATTCAATTTTCGACCAAAAATTTAATACAGTACCAGGATAGAAATTATCCTCTGTCCATTAAATTTAAATTAATTTTTAAAATCGTTAAATTATAATAATTATCCAATTAAAAATAATATTTTTTCAAATTTTGAAACTTAAAAAAATCGCGTTCATTTTTGACTGATAAAATTAAATAATATAACTAAACAAAAGCCCCCACGGCGTGGTTTTTTTTTTCATCTATCCATTATCAATAGTAGTAACCTGTGTTTGTACCGTTGTCTGTACTCCATGGACCGTTTGCGTAGAAACCGAGCTAGCCGGTCGTATGTTAGCACCCTGGACACCTTGAAGAGAGGAAGGCAAAATACTGAGCGGACGCTGCCCGCTACCACCTTGTTTACCAGCTTGCTGCGATTGCTGCTGGATGTCCATCACTCGAGGTTTTCCACTGGCCGCTGCAATCTGCTGAACGCCCTGGAGCTGCTGCTGCGTTGCTATAGCTGATGGTTTTAAATTATTACTCTTGCTTTGTCAAGTAAATCAGGATAAATGGGAAATAAAAAAAAAAATAGATAACAAACCATTGTGAGCCTGGATTGGCTGCGGGCTTTGTATGTACATTTCTGGTTGCGTGGGACTTCTAATAAAAATCTGATTAGGTGCAGCGAGGAGTGTCGTACCCGGTGGTTGTAATCCAGCCCACGCGACTTGCGGTGTAAATTGCCATGGTGCAAATTGCATTCCACCTCCTCGAGCTGCATTTTGTGTACCAGCTGCGCACGTTGTGTACTAAAATAATTTTATTTAATTAATATCTTATTAATTTTTACTAAAATTTCTTACATAGAAAAAAAAATTTATTTGAATTAAGTAAAAATTTTTAAATTAATAAATTTTTTTGGGTTAAGTAAATTTTATTTGATACAATTATAAATTATTTTTTTGTTTCAAGAATTTTTCTTTTAATTCAAGTTAATTTTTTTTTTTTTTTTTTCAGTATAAATTGATAAAAAAAATTTACTTGGATCAAGTAAATAATTTTGAAGTAGTTCATTTTGTTAATTTAAGTAAAAAAATTCTCAAATTAAGAATTTTTAAGGTTGCATGAACAGTACTCCATAAGTCATAATAGAATCTAAATTTTTTTTGATTAAAATTAAAAATTTGAATACGAAAATTCATTATTATAATTTAACCCTTACTTAACATTATTATTAATTAGATTCAGGCAATAATTTAATTAACAAAAACAGTAAATAGTCAACGTTTGACTCAAGTACTTTGTCACAAAATGTGGACCTGGCAACATTGCGCTTAGCTATGTATATTTATCTCATATTAAAAAATTAGCTTTTGATCTTGAATAATGCATTTATGTCGAATAATCTTAGATAAATTAAACTTGATTAAAAAATTTTGTCTTGATTTTAGTCATTGAAATTTTTTAAAATTATTCTCTTGATTCAAAAATCTTTTTCTTAATTCAAGTAATATTTTTTTTCAGCGTTCAATTTTTTTCTTCAAGAATTCTTCATACTAAAAATTCTAAATCAAAAATAAAATAAAAAAATTATCTTGAATTAGGTAAATAATTTTGAAAAACTTCATTTTCTTAATTTGAGTAAAAAAATATTTTTTTTTAGTTTAAATAAATTTTACTCGATTCAAAAATCATTCTCTTAATTCAAGAAAATTTTTTTTTCAATGTTTAAATTTCTTTAAAAATTTTTCACACTAAAAATTCTAAATCAAATAAAAAAAAAAAAAAATTACTTTTTGTACTTGATCAGCTTTGTTGCCTCCCTGCTGTTGTTGCTGTTGCTGAAGGGACTGTTGAGGCTGAGGTGATCCCAGAACGCCCAGGGGCCCAAAAACAAGTGTCTGACCTCCCCCAGGATTGGAAGTGGGCACAGGCAAGTACCCAGCTGGAAAACCTTGAACCTTACCTCCAGGTCCCGCATGACCACCAGGCTGTCCTTGAGTGGACGCGGTGGTCAGCATGTGAGGAGTCAACTGTCCAGCAGATTGAAACGGTTTACCGGCAGTGATGACCTGGATCGAAGACGGGTTGAGGTTCGAGTGAAGCGCCAGGTTTCCAGGCAGAAGCATTGGCGTTCCCTGAGTGTTGTAGAGCTGTTGGAGATGGTAAGCTCCACTCTGCATGGGCTGCTGGATCACCTGGACTGCCTGGGGGTGAGCAGCCATGGTGGTGATGGTCGTCGCACCCTGCTGACCTGCCAGAGCCATCGAGACCCCCGGTTGTTGCTGGTGCTGCTGCATCGACACCGCTACCGCCCCTTGGAGCTGCTGAGGCATACTCGCCGCGACTTGGGACTGCACTTGAACCTGAGTGACATTGTGCTGAGCATTTCCTTGCTGCTGGTTTTGCGGCTGTTGCTGCTGTTGAACAGATACCTGTTGTATTTGTTGCTGGGGAGCGATCTGCTGCGCCACTTGCTGTCCGTGATTCTCTTGCTGGCCCTGTTGTTGAGCTTGCTGCTGCTGGCCTGTTGTCTGCTGCTGACCCTGCGACTGCTGCTGGTTTTGTTGCTGAAGCTGTTGCTGCTGCTGGACATTCTGTTGCTGCTGCATCTCGATACCGTTTATCATCATCTAACTTGGCAATTCCTTTTTTTTCTCTCCTTGGTGGATATTTAGTGATTTATCTATCTTCTTGCTGGAAAAATATAGTCGAGTTAGGATTTATAATAAAAATTTATTAAAGTAAATATATAATAAAGTAAATTTGGAAAATTTTAAACTATGGACAATATTAACTTAATTTTTTTGAAATTATAATCGGAAAATTTTAATGCATTAGCAATGAAATTATAAAAAAAAAAAAAATACATTAAAATTAGCAGACACTTGATGATTTTTTTTTAAATCGTATAGTATTAATGATAAATAAGTTAAAATAAAATAAATAAATATATAAAATAAATAAAATAAAATAAATTAAATCTAGAAAATTATTTTAAAAAAATTACATTGATAATTTTTTTGAACTTTTTAAGATGGAATTTTTTCAATAAATTGTTTTGTTATATAATTTATTTATTAAAAAAATTTTTTTAATTATCATATGGATTTCAATCTCATTATATTGGCATTTTTTTTTTGTTTTTTTAAATAAAATAGATCTAGAAAATTATTTTTTAAAAATTGCATTGATAATTTTTTAGAGTCTCTGAAAATGGAGTTTTTTTAATAAATTTTTCTTGATAGAATTTATTTATTTAAAAAGTTTCTAAAAATCATCATGTCTCTTAATTTGAGTAATGAAACTTTTTTTTTTAATTTTAGATGCAAAAATTAAAAAAAAATTATTGATGAAACTTATTAAAAGTATTTTTATTATTGTAATTTATTTGTTGTAAAAATTGAAAATTTTTAGCTGTCTAGTATCATAAATTTTATGAAAATTAAAATTACAAATATATAATTTTAATAAATTACAATTCCAAATTGTCATATCATTTAAAATAATTATTTTAAAATAAATAAATGGCAATATATATTTAAATACTTCAGTAAATATTTCTACAGTAAAAAAAATTGAGTATGGTCAAGAAAAATTTCCTGTTATACATAGAAAAATTGAATGATAAAATTAATTATCCAGAAAAAGATTATCTTCATATTTCCAAGAATTAAAATTATGAACTCCAATTAAGTCTAATGAAAAAATTAATTTTTTACAGCAATATTGATTAATTAAAAAAATTAAAGTGATATAAAATTTCATAGATTTACAATCAAGTATTAAGATGAAAATTAATTTTGCAGATATTTGATAGTTTAAAAATTTTTGTAACAAATAAATTATGATAAAAAAAAATTGACACTTAGAAAATAAAAAATGCAATTTTTTAAAAATAATTTCTTTTAACAAATTTGTTTGTTAAAAAAAAAATAAAAAATGGTCAAGTGCTAACTTTAAAATGACATAGTATAAAGTGCGCTCTAAAATAAAAAAAATAATTTCTATCAAGTACTTAATAACTTTTAAAAACAAAACATAAATGCAGTGACTTATTAATAAATGACATTTGAACTTGATAAACTTGAAAATAAAATCATCAATATCGGCTGATAAAAATGCATATATATAACCTAGTTGATTTCTCAATTTCGCATTCGGCATCCCAACCTCTTGTGTAACAGTGCGTCAGTTAACAACAAAGCCCTCTCAATAATTCATCTTTTCAACAAAAACCCGTAAGTACTCAAATAACTTTACTACTAGCATACCATTGTTATCAGCACGTCTCATAAATAAACAATAGCCAAAATAACAACAATACTGACGTAAGTGACAGTCAGAGTGACATAACGCTGAAATAAATTTTTATTATTATTATCTTAAATTATTCATTCATTACTACATAATAAAAATTAAATAAATTAAAATATAAGAAGAAAAAATTATAAAATACTATCGTAAAATTTAAATAATTAATTATCATATTTAATTAAGTACCTAACCTAAAATAAAGTAAATATAGATTATAAGCGAGTAGGTTGAGAACCACTGGGCATGTTCGAGGGTGGCCAACAATGCACATTTTTTTTTCCTTTTACTCTTTTACTTTTTTCGAGCCGCTGAGATAGGGATAGAGAAAATCCGTGGGGGAATAGAGAGTGATATATGACGGGCAATAACTAAGTATGATAAAAACTAGAAAAAAAATTAAATACAAAAAGTGTATGATACTGAAGTTTGCTGAAAACTGTCAATATTTTTTTTTTTTTGTAATTTTAAAACATTTATTATAATTAAAAAAATTTTCAATAATAATTGTTTTTTATTATTATATGGGAATTTTTTATTAAATTTTTTTTTAGTAACAATTTAATTAGTTATATTATTATTATATTATAAGTGTTATATTTTTATTTAGCTTATAAGTGAATAGCCAAAAACTGTCAATTGTTTTTTTAAATTATAGCAATTAAATTATTATGAAAAAAATTTAATAAAAAAATTCCACATGTGAAAAATGAAAAAAATTATTAGTGAAAATTTTTAGAAGCATTTTTAAAAAATTTTTTTAACAAAAAAATTATTTTAAAAAAATGAAAATAAAGTTAGCTGACATCTAAAAATTTTTATGACATTTTTTTTATTAAAGAATTATTACAAAAAAAAATTTTTCATTTGTTAAAAACTTCAAAAACTATAAGTGCAATTTTTTAAAATTATTTTTTAATTATAATTTAATAAATTAAGCAAAATAAAAAAATAAAAAATGTCGGCTTACTTTATTAATAATTTTAAAAATTGGATTTTTAATTTTTTAAAATTTCTATCCCAATTTTTCAAATATTTTTTTTGCCATATTTATTAAAAAAAAATTCTAAAAATTATTAAATGTCTGCTAAATTCATCATTATATTTTATAACAAATAAATTATAATAAAAAAAAATTTACTAATTTTTTTTTAATAATAATTTTATAAAATTATAAAAAAAATTCTAATATTAATTAACATATCAGTGTTACAAAAGTGTTAATGTTAAAAAAAAATAAACTCTAAACTGTAAGTATTAAAAAAAAATATAAAAGTGTATATATATACATATATACAAGAGTAGATATTTATATATTTATTATTTTTTTAGCGAAGAAAATGGCGCTCGATAATAAAAACAGTAAACAGACAGCGAGGTTGAGAACAAGCGTGTGCTCGGAAGTATTCGTCCAAGGTCGAGGGCAGAGAAGTTTAAGTCTTAATGTACATAAATATATATTTATATATGTATGAATATATATTGAGAATATATAAGGTATGAGCGTTGAATTTGCAAAAGTAACATTTTTTTTCTCTTCACATTTATTTTCACTTGATTATTATATATTTATGTATCTAGGTATGTACAAAGTTATATATTTATATATATATATATATATGAGAGAGATATACTTATATATATGTATGAGTATATATAATTGATGGCAGACTGTAAGCTGTTGCTCGTAAGAGGGGAAGAAAGTTGGCCCGGCTGACTCGATATCCATCTTGGAACGTTGCGGAACAAAATGTCGTCCTGGGGCCGACCACCATAATTAGTGTGAGAGCGAGTGAGAAAAAAACAAGCTGGGGATAAAAAATAATGGAGGCCTAGCGGGTGATGAAGTTCGAGCCAAAGTATGGAGTTGCCTTTGCCGTAATTTTCTTCCCTGACTAAAAACCGACAGGGCGGGGGAACTCAGCGGGGCGAGGGAGGACAAAAATATAGAAAGAGAGAGACAGAATAGCCTAGAAGGGGAAAGGGAGATCCAGGGACCGAGTAACGACATGGATTTCACGCAAGAATAATAATAATATTCCTCGTTAAAGCTTTTGTGATTATTTTAGCTTACTGCGTTTTCTTCTTTAAAATTACAACTGTAGTTGGTAAATTAATTTATTTATTACTAATTAAAATAATTAAATTTTTAGTAATAATATTATTGAACTGGGTTTCAGGCAGAATAGTACACTACTGGAAGTTTTTTTAGTTTAGTCGCTTGGATACTCACATGGCGATTGCGCAGTCACACCTAGACACGTTTTAAATCACGCCAATGAATTATCATTGTTGACACACACTTTTTAAAACCAACCACACTGTACTTGAAGAATCAACCCTTGTGATAACACTGATAAAAATCACCAGAAAAATTATCCAAAAATTCCAGGAAAGTACGGTTAAAATCCATGAATAAACACCGAGGATATTTGGTGTGTTGTTACCGTGAACATAGCCAGCACTGTCGACTACTCGAGTTCCCTACTTGGAGTTTGTAAAATTACGCCCCTCGCTCCTCTCACCCCTCGGCTGAGGCACCTTGACTCCCACCCGGGACTCGCATTTATTCTACTCAGGTTGGCTTACTCTTCTATAGAGAAACTAGCACCCCGCCAGGAGTCTCGTCTCGTTGATTGGTCCGACGTGGACAAATCCCAGAGGCATCATGATCGTCAAGAAAGGCGGAGCATTTACCAGCTCTGTCTCTCTCATCGAGGCTTTCTACTCAGCTCTCGCTTCCTCGCTCCAAAAACCAGATATAAAGTGTGCTCTTTTTATTTGTATGAGCCCTCGGAAAGCAACGCGCATGTATTGCCGGAGTGAGTGTGCTCACACACTCACACTCATTCAATCATTACCGAACAACCGCACACTCATATCATGCTCCAGCTCGTTTTTATTCACCCTCTCGCTCCAACAAGTTTTCTTCTCTTCCATTTCATTCCCTTCTAGGCACTCACACTCGCACAAGTTTGCTTCATCAGACTCACACTACCTCCCGGATCACCAGGAGTGTACTAATAATTCATCTTTAAGTACTTAAATTTTTTTTTACCTGAAAAATTATTTTAAATAATTCAATAAATTATTTAAATTTAATTTTAAAAGTTTACTACTGTAAGTATTGGATTTTTACAAAGTAATGCAATTTAAATTGCTCTAAAATATTTTTTTTATTCTAGGTACTGATATATTAATCAAGCGAAAAAATTTTTCTACTTTTTAATGTATGAAAAATAGAAGAGTTTAATTGGAGATTAATTGGAGCGGAAGTCGAGGATTAGATACATAAATTATAAAAGCGAATAAATAAATAGGGCAATGGTACAAATAGTACATACGCACCTGGCACAGCTGTCTCGTGGCCACGTTTACACTCCTCGTCCTCGTAGTGTCTGTACAGTACTTAACTGTGTGTACCTAACACTAACACATAAACCCTCGTTACTCGTGAATTGGGTGGTAGGTATCAAGCCGAAAATCTCCAGCCTATCCGGAGCAAGCTGACCCATCTGAAATAAAAACTATATTTTTTAAAATTCATAAAAAATTAAAAAATTGCATTGCAAAATTATGCTATGATTTTTTTTTAGATATTTCTGAAGCGTAAGTTAGGATAATTATTTTTTGCAATTACATTGTAATTAGAGCGTGTTGATTTTTTTCAGGATGTTTTTTCATGAGAGAAATCGTGGAACTATTCGCAGCTTACACACATCTTGTGTTTATCTCACAGAGCGTGTGTGTATTTTTAAATGAGGGTGTGATGGTGTGTCTGCAAAGCAGTATAGGGACATTGTTGGGTACTTGTACTTGTCTGTGCTAGTGCACATGAACTGTAATCCGACAATAATACTCGGAATAAGTAGGGATAAGCAACCAACCAACCAATGGTTTAGGTCCGCGAGTGTTGCCAAGGAAACCGGTTAATGATTCGACCGGCTACAGAGGAATTGGCTTGCTTTATATTCTCTATACATATAACGCATTGTTTGGCGCATGCGTGACTCATCTACTGATAAAACACTCGCTATTTCAAATAAAAGGACAGAGAGGGAGATGGAGATAGGAATAAGCGCTTAAAGAAAGAGACGGAGGACAGAGAAGGAGAGATTTATTAATAGCGCCGGCGACTGGCAAAGGATTCTCAGCGACAGCATGTAGAGAGAGAATGTGTTTTTGCGTCCCCTCTAAGCGGGAAATAAAAGCATACCCATATTAAATTACCGTACCCCCACCAAAGGAGGATATCGCGAGTGAAGAGCCGGGGGTCATGAACGCGGACGACGAGTTGGTCTTACGCGCTTGTTGTCGACGATTGGTTTTCTTCCCACCCCTCTATTTCTTCCCCACCCCATTTATTGTTAGCTCTTACTTATTTTTACATATGTATATACCATATACATTTTATATATTGTGTATATATAAAGCTTCATGTGTGGGAAGAATATATATGTACATGAAGAATATGTACATGTTTTTATGATATACGCTATCATTTCATCATACGCCTCGGCTTGATTGTAATATGTCTTTTAAGCGATTCATTTTTTACTCAATGATTGGCTTCGACCCGCTAATTAATTTTATAGATATCGATAAGGTGTGTCTTTTTTTAATTATCAAAAATTGAAAATTTAGTACTGACACAGTACACTGAGAAAACAAAAAGAATCGTTTAAAATAAATTTTGATTTTTTGAAAAAGGAATATCAATATTTATTATGATAATAAAATATTGGCATTAATTTTAATAGATTAACAAACGAATATTAGGTTCACTTGAATTGAACAAAAAATGATTCGATTAATTCGATCAATTCTTTAAACAAGAAAATGTTGTTGGTTTTCTGATGCAATAAACCTCACAGAAAAAAAAATGTTCTTGAATCAAGTATATAATTTTGAAAAACTTAATATTCTTGATTTGAGTAGAAAAATTCTTGATTTAAGGAAATTTTACTTGATTTAAAAATTTGTCTCTTGAATCAAGTTTTTTTTTTCAGTGCTCGTATCTCAAAAATGACAATTTTTCAGATGAGGTAAAAAATAGCTTATAAAAAATTAATATTCATCTAAAAATAATATTTATCAATTGTATTTTTTAAAAATACTATCGTATTTATTATTAATAATCTGGTTAATATTTTCAATAACGCGTTTATAATTAATTGTTAATTTTTCAGTTGAACCCTTTCATTTTCTAAAATTGAGATACGTGGTTGCGTTAGAAAGCCCTCGAAGATTATCAAGAATATATGTGACAAGAAAATTTTTTCAAATAGTAATTTTTTTTCTCAGTGTAAAAAAATTTTCTTCAAATTTGACCCAAAATATTCAAGTTACTGACTGTTTTTACACAAACTATTGTTAATTCCAAACTAATAAAAAAATTGGACTTCACTCAAGAGCTAAACTCTTGAACCAAGAATACCATTTTGAAGAAAATGATTTTCTTGGTTTAAGAAAATTTTCTTGAGTCAAGAATTTATTCTCTTGACTCAATAAAATCATTTTCTTCAAAATGAAATTTTTGGTTCAAGAGTTTGGCTCTTGAATCAAGTCAATTTTTTTAACAGAGTGCACATTCTAGTGTCTTAAATCAACACGTGAGAGTGTGAAATTCTACACACTAGAGTGTAATATTCTACCTAAAAATTTTTACACAATGACGAAAATTTTTTTACTGTGTATCGAGTGAAAGAAAATTTTTATTTTATAATTTTTTATGGACTTTTTATTTTTTTTTCAGAAATTATGGGGTTAAATTAATGAGCGCTGTGGGAGTTAAAGAGGTTTTGTAATGATTAAACCGATGATTGATGACTATTAATGAGTTAGTGGTTGAAGAGATCCCACGGAATAGGCAATAGTAATAGGAAGTTATGTAACGACGCCCACGTATCATTGGTGCGTGTCAGACATTTTGACGCTCCGTACTATGGGTTCTATATAACAATTATCAACGATCCTTGAGAAAGTGTTTTAGTTCAGGATATTCAACCTGATTTGGATAAATTTATTTAATAAAAAAAGGTATTTTTGTCGAAAGTTCAAGATTTATCTTTATAAATTGCAATCACTACAGCTATTTTAAGAGTATTGATAAAAAGGTTTATTAATGGATTGGACGCAATTATTTAAATATTTAAGAGTGAGGACTTGGCTAAGCTTTACGTCATTTACACAATAAATATTTTATCAGCTTGGTGTTGAATTTAAAAATATCTTTTTGCTTTTATTTTAAGTTATTTGTAATGATTTTTTGTGGCTTTTTTTAAAGCAGTTTAAATTGTCTATCAGTCTTTAGTTTTTAATTTATTTTTTACTCTAGAGTAATTTATGTTTATAAATTACACAGTTGAAAAATTTGGAGTATTTTTTACAATGTAATGAAAATAAATCTTTAGTAGACTGATGATAAAAAAAAAATGATAGGGAAATTTTTAAACTAAGAAATCTTTCTTGGGTTAAAATCTTTATTCAGTAATTTTTTTTTGTTTGATTTCAGATAATTTTATTGATTAAAATTTTTTATCTTGAATCAAGTAAATTTTTCTATCATTAGTATAGAATTAAAAAGAGCGCAAAACTAAATACGACACCATTTTTTAAATCAAAAAAATTATTTTTTCAAGAAAATTTTTGGCTGTGATTATTTTCTTAATTCTTCGTTTGAAGATTGATAGTTAATCCAAAGTAGAAAAAAAAGAATGTAAACGTCTTTAATAATCTTAAGTTTACTTAAGATTTAAAGAGTCGGTAAATAAACACAGACCCAAAAAAAAAAATAAGATAAAATTGATACCGTTTTTAAAGATTAGATACATGTCCTCTGATAATAGCAATGTTTGTTCTTTTAAATGTAATATTATTAATTTAACCTTTTATATTGTAATTTTATTTTTTTAGCGTAAGCTGTAAAATCATAACACACTTGAAAAGCGATACTGATGGCCATTAAAGTGGTCACTTATGACTTTTACGAATATTAAAATAAATAATAGTCCGTAGATAATAATAGTGTAAATCATAAGTAGTAGATATGCGCAAATGGAAAACCGCTTAGCGAATGAAAGCCCGATAAGAAGTTGCGCGCGCCGGCTGGCAGAGTACCGCGCTTGCATCATTTCCTGTGCATGTTTGCATTGCACCTAGCCTACCTCACCTACTCACCTCACGGTCTAGGAAGTTCAATGCTTGCAGCTATTTCGTCGGCATAAATAAAATTTACAGAATTTCTTCCTAGACAATCTAAGTCTCATAAATGTATAAGCATTTAATATTTAATATTTTTCTTCCTATAATTATTTTCTTGAGCAAAAATAAAATTTTTTTTTGATGCAAGAAATTTCACTTATTCCAACAAAATTAATCCTCTTGGTTTAAAAAATACGTATCTTGATCCAAGAAAATTTATTTAAGTCAAGAAAAATTTTGTTGTTTTAAGAAAATTCAGCCTCTTGCTCCAAAAAATTAAATATATAAAGATAGAAGTAAATTATTTTTATTGATTAACATTATGTCAAATAGGAAGATCAAATAATATTGAATCATTTTTTTTTTCATTCAATATCTATAATTGAATGCTAAAATAATATAAAATGGGTATCAAATGTTCAAAAGAAAAATTTTCTCAAGGTGAGAAAATTTTTTTCTCAGCTGAAGTCGGTGGCGCTGCTTCCCTAAAGTATCTAAAAATCTTGATCAAATATAAAAATTTATTGTATCAAGTATTTATGATAATTTGAATTAAGAAAAAATGACTTCCACCAAGAATAGAATTTCAAGAAAAATTTTTACTTCGGCCAATACTACTTCGGTCTTTCTTCAGACACCCGAAAATTTTCTTGAGTCAAGAATTTTGTTCTCCACTTTCTTAAAATAAATCAGTGGAATTTTACTGATTCCAACCAGTGAATGTAATTTCACTGGTGAATCAGTGAGGTTCACTGGTTGAATCAGTGAACAAAATATCTGCGCGCATGCGCGCTGTTATGTCCACTGGTTAAATCAGTGGAAATCCACCGATTCACCAATGAAATTGTCATTCACTGGTTGAATCAGTGGAATTCCACTGATTTATTTTAAGAGAGCAGTCAAAAAATTTTTCTTTCTGTATTGAAAAATTTTTAAACTGCTAAATTTTTCCTGGTTCAAGTAAATTTTACTTGATCAAAAAACTTTTTGTCTTAAATCAATCCACTAAAATTCTCCAAAATATTTTCTTGGTTCAAAAATTATTTTCTCAACTAGTCAATTTTTTTTTTTCAGTTTACCAACTCCTAAAAATAAATCTAAAAAAAAATGAAGAATCAGGAGAGAATGACCCTCATAGGAGGCAACATAATTCAAAAGGGGAGTCCCCTCTACTTAAAAACTATAGCGTGTCGTGCATATATGTGTGTGTAATCATCCCTTCCCATAGATGATCTTCCATTCCATTTCTGAACGCGGCATGTAGACAATAAAGCATGCCGAGCTCTTGAATCCCGTTAGGTTCCCCCCACCCGACAATCCGTCAGCCCTCGAAACCGACATAACATCCCCATTTCTCACAAAATGTACCCAAGAATCCTTACCTGCCAAGCATGAAATTCTCCCTCTTTATCCGGGTGTTTATTATTCTCTTCTTCTGTGCTCCCCAATCGTAAACACACACAGACTGTTTTTTTCTCGCACCCACACATTGTAAGCTCAAGGGAGTTTAGACTCTTTGCTCTTACTCGGTGAGGTGTCCTTTGGTCCCACCGTCGCCCAACGGGTGGTTGACATGCCAATAAATAAAGACGGTGTTTCCAGATTAGACCGTAGCAGCAGGCGCTAGTCGCTCTTTCTTTCTTTCTCTCGCCATCTCTCGGATCCTTTCTCTTCCTCTAGACTGTCGCTGTCTCTCTTTGTCTTTTTAATAAAAGCTAAAAGGAACAAACTGGTATCGGGCCTAATGTGAGTAGTGTCGACGGGATCTAGTGCGCCTGGCACAGTGGGCGTACCGAACACACGTCTCTTTCTCTTTATCGACATTAACACGCATGCGTGGTTATCAACCGATTTTTCTATCCCTTCTTGCTGTCACCTTTAACAGAGCGGTTGAGTTTATATTATCTCTAGATGTATCTAATCTAGCTCGAGCTCCGAACAGAAACAGGGACAAAGAAGTTGTCGTGGAGATTTTGGAGGTTAGAACAGACTGAAACAGAAAATAGAATTAGAACAAAAAGACACATCATCAATATTCTTATGGGTACGTCTGTCTACTAGAGGGTCACTCGACGGAAAAAAATAATAGGAATACTCACATGGATATTTATTATTATTCTACTCAAGAATTCCTTAAATTTTATAAATAATTTCGTCTACGACCTACGGTAGTTTTCAAGACACTGAAGTTAACTGATGTTTAAAAATTTTTTTAATATTTTATACTAATTAAATTTTTGTAAATAATTTTAATAGAAAAAATTTGGATTTTAGTTGAAAATTTTTAGAAGCATTTGTTTTGTTGTAAAAAGTATGAATTATTGACAATTGTCAGCTAAATTCAGTATCATACTGAAGTTAGCCGTCAGCTGTCAATTTTAAAAATTTTTTCAACAAATCAAATAATGACACTGAAGTTAGCAGACGTCTGAGAAGTTTTTTTTATTAATTAAATTACAACTAAAAAGATATATTTAAAAAAAATTGCATTTATAGTTTTTCAAGTTTTTTACATGTGAATTTTTTTTTTTAATTGTTTAATTGAAATTTTTTTAATAAAAAATTTCTAAAAATTTTTAAATGTCAGCTAACTTCATTTTTATATCAAATACAATTAAAAAATGTTTCTAAAAATTTTCACTTATAATTTTTATTAATTTTCACATGTGGAATTTTTTTTTAAATTAATTTAATTGTTATAAAATTTTTTAAAAATTTATAATGTCTGTCAACTTCAGTGTCATTCAGTATAATGTATTTTTTGTGATCAGCTGACATTTGAAAATTTTTATTTTTATAAAAAAAAAATTTTTTTTTAGTTTCTAAATATAGAATTTTTATTTACAATAATTTTATTGTTATAAACTTCAAGTTGACTTCAACTTGAAGTTCACTTCAGGACCATTATTTTTCATAAGATTGAAGTCAGCTGACTTATGATAATTTCTGAGATTTAAAAAAAAAATTATAAGAAATTCTACTTGTAGATATGTAAGAAAGAAATTGTAATTTTTTAAAATCTTTTCTTAGAAATAATTTATTTGTTCTGAAATTCTAAAAGAATGAGGTGTTTGCTAACTTTAGTTTTTATTTTTCTCCAATTTCTGTTATTATTATTATTATTATTATGATTATTATTGTTATTGTTGTTATTATTATTAGGTGTGCAGCAGGATTACTTTGGAATTTATTAATGGAATTTTATACAAAAGGAAAAAAGGTGTCAAGGGGTGGAACGCGCATGGGCACAAATATAGATCGATGATGCCTTGCGCGACGGAGTTATAATAGAGAGTGTTATTATATCTCAACTCTGGATATTGTATATCTATATATTTGTATTGTAGGATGATGTATGTGTGCGGTGTGACAGACCTGGTCTAACGCATGCTACTGACATATATAACCTCATATGGATTAATGAGCATGCGTTTGACTGGGAGGTTTTAATGATACTGAAATTAGCAGGCATTTGACAGTTTTTGGGAATTGACTCAAAAATTTAATTTTAATGACAATAATTTTTAGACTTATAAATTATAATAAAGAAAATTTATTTTAAAAATTGCATTTTTGGAAACTCCAAAAAAATTATTATTGTAAATTTTTATGAAAATTAATTTAGCATTAATTTTTTTAAGGAAAAAATTAGTGTAAAAAAATTGATATGTAATTTAAAAAAATGCAAATTTTTAAAAATAATTTTTTGGAACAAATTTATTTGTTAAAAAATTAAAAATTAGTCAAATAATTGCTAAATTTAATGTCATTAAATTAAAAAAAATTATTTTCTATATTTAATTTATTTTTTATGAATTTTTGCTAATTGCAGTCAAAAAATTTATTGCAAAAAAATTCTGTTATTATTAAGATGTTATTAATTTATTATTAAGAGATTAAATTGTTATTTAATAGTTGACAATTATTGATGATGAAGAAATAATTGTGTTGTAGAAATAATGAAGCCTGGAGGGCTGTTGAGAAAGGCCGACAAAATCTATCGATTAATTTGTCATGGCGATTTCGCTCGATCGGGTTCAACGATGCCGGATTTGACAGCAGTCAGGTATAAAGTCAAACGAGGGCCTTTTGGGGAAATAACCGGGACCCACATCAACTTTTTTGAGCAATTGTTGGGACACAATCGAGTTATTACTGATCCAAATGAGTGTGACGCTTATAATGTCGACTGGGTGAAAACGGTGCGAGGTCTGTTGCATTAGATTATATTTGGAATCTTCAGGCATATTTTTTAACGCAACGGTTCTTTCAGGAAGCAGTAGGCTGGTGCTAAAGCCAAAAACTACCGATGAAGTTAAGGAAATTCTCAAGTTCTGCAATCTCAATCGGCTGGCTGTTTGTCCTCAGAGTGGGAATACTGGTCTTGTAGGTGGAAGTGTGCCAGTTTTTGATGAAATTGTTTTATCGATGAAGATGATGAATAAAATAATATCTATCGATCAGCTCTCTGGTAATTAAATAAGTTTTTTTTTTTTTTTTTTTAATTAATTATTAAGGATAATTTTTAGTGAAATAAAAAATTTCTTCCGTAAAATTTTTCTGTAATTTTATTACAAATTTTTTAAATAATAAATTATAGCAAGAAAAATTTATTTAAAAAAATTTCATTTTTAGAGACTAAAAAATTGTAAATAAAATTTTTTTTAAATAATTTTCTAGATTTAATTTATTATCAAAAAAATTATCAAGTGTCTGATAATGTCATAATTATTTTAAGATAATTAAATTTAATTACTTTTTTACTTATAAATAATTTATGGGAGTATAAAGATAAAATAATAATTGTTAATTAAAACAATTATAGGAGCTTTAGTTTGTGAAGCTGGATGTATTTTAGAAGTTTTGGAAAAGCATGCCGAACAATACGGATTAATGATGCCCCTGGACCTTGGGGCAAAGGGAAGTTGCCTTATCGGGGGAAATATATCTACAAATGCCGGAGGTCAAAGATTATTAAGATACGGAAATTTACATGGATCCGTATTGGGTCTTGAAGCTGTAGGTAGTGTTTTATCTGATGCATCCTCTATGAATAGCATTAGTTTTAGTTCGTATTATCAATTCAATAGATCGAGTCTATATATTTATTTTAATAACCTCATGAATTAATTTGTCTTAAAACTAGGTTACAGCGGATGGCCGAGTAATCGATTCTATTAGCACACTGAAGAAAAATAACACCGGTTATCACCTGAAGAATTTATTTATCGGCGCCGAAGGCACTCTGGGAGTCGTCACTAAAGTTGCGATTCAGTGTCCCACTCGTCCGCTAGCGCAAAACGTTGCTTTTGTCGGTAAAATAATAAACCTATAAATTAATTTTCTGGATAATTTAATTATTTTGGTGTTTAATTGACGGTGCAGGCTTGAAAAGTTTCGATAAAGTTTTGAAAACTTTTGTGCTGGCGAAAGAAAAGCTCGCGGAAATTTTGTCCGCCTGCGAGGTAATAGACTCATGGTCGATGGAAATCAGCACCGATTTGCTGCATCTCAAGAGCCCGCTCGGTCAGAAGCACCAATTTTACATGCTCATTGAGACGTCTGGAAGCAATCAGGAGCATGACGAAGATAAACTTACGTCTTTTCTTGAGAGTGCTATGTCTGAGGAATTTATTGAAGACGGGACTATGAGTGGTGACCCTGCAAAAATTAAGGTTTGTTTTTCTTTAGTTAAATTACTTATTAAACACCAAAAAAAATTCAAATAATTTTTAAAAAACTTCATCTTAATTTGAGTAGAAAAATTTTTGAACTAAGAAATTTTTTTTTGGTTTAAGACATTAAAATTAGCAGTGAATTATTTTTTAATTTTATTTAATAATCAAGTTAATCCCAAAAAATAATTTTTAAATTGCATTTTTAATTTTTTAAAATTTCTACCTGTTAATTTTTTTGTCATAAGTTATTTTTAAACTAAGAAATTTTCTTTTTGGTTTTTGACATTAAAATTAGCAGTGACTTGACCATTTTTTAATTTTATTTAATTAACAAATTTTCCTCGAAAAATAATTATTTAATTGCATTTTCAATTTTTTTAAATTTCTACTTGTCAATTTTTTTCATTCTTTTTTTGTCAAATTATTTTTGACAAAAATTTTTGAACTAAGAAATTTTTTTTTTGGTTTTTAACATTAAAATTAGCAGTAAATTATTTTTTGGTTTTATTTAATAAATAAACTTTTCCCGAAAATAATTTTTAAATTGCATTTTTAATTTTTTTAAATTTCTACTTGTCAATTTTTTTTTCTAATAATTTATTTTTTTCAAAAAATTCAAAAAATTATCAAATATTTGCTAATTAAATATTTTAGATTTTTTGATTCAAGAAATTAATTTTCTTAATTCAGTGATTACTTATTTAATTTTTTTCCAATAAATTAATTTTAATAGAACATTTGGGAAGTTCGTGAGCGTTTGGGTGAAGGTTGCTTGCGTGACGGCTACTGCTTCAAATACGATGTATCGCTGCCACTTCCCCACTTCTACAAACTGATTGAAGCCCTTCACGAACGTCTAGACACTTCACGCATCGTTCGGATCAGCGGATTTGGTCATTTAGGTATATTGACACCTGAAATAAATTATCTATTTTTTTTTTTTTTACTAAATTGATAAAAATTTATTTTTTATTGATAAAAAAAAAAAAATATTGATATTACAAATAAAATCATCCAGACTTATGATCCGTAAAAAGCCATTAACTTAATGCCCACAGGCGACGGGAACTTACATGTGATAGTGGCAACACCCGAGTACGACCCAGAGATCGAGTCTCAACTTGAGCCTTTCCTCTTTGAGTACGTATCGGAGCAGCGTGGGAGTGTGAGCGCCGAGCATGGGATCGGATTTAAAAAAACGAAGTATCTCAGCTACAGCAAAGACAAGTCTGCGATCCAGCTGATGAAGGAAATCAAAAGCTTGATGGATCCAAATGGAATTTTGAACCCCTACAAAGTTCTTCCCTAGATTTACATAATTATTATTTAATTAGTCAAGAGTGAATTTATTTTTTTATTTAAAACATTCCAATTGTTGAGCAGTCATTAGTTTTAAGTGTCGGGTTAAATAAAATTTGTTATTTTGTTTTAAGAAATATGATGACAAACTTGTAACGTGATCTTGCGCAGGTATGCTCCATTTGTAGTCGCAGTCTGGACTATATATTGTGTATTGCGCAATCGATAAAACGTGCGCTGTGTATATGTATTTATGTGGGTATATATATTTGTAGGTATATAAGTGTGCGTTTACCAAAGAAATTCTTACCCTATTACAGCGCTACACCAACAGAGTCTCGAATGTGTTTGGCGAAACCAAAACACAGAATTTTTTTTTTTTTTGCTCACGTACGCTTATTCTCTTACTCGTGATTTATTGTTGAAACAAAGACGATCGATACTTTTGTTATTGAGAACTAAACATTGAATAACGATCGAGAAATTCTTAACGTTTTATTTAAATTAGGTGTTATTATTATAAAAAAAATTTTAGAATTTATTTTTAGTTTAATTTAATATTTAAATGCACCTTAGTATTGCACTTTAATATTAAATTCAGTAGCTGGATTATAAATTTATGTAGAAGAATATTGATCGCAGGATAATATTGGATTTAATAACACTATTTAACGGTGGTTCGTTAAATATTTAGATCAAGATGAACATTTTTATTTAATCACATTCTAGACATTGTATTCGATCAAATAAGGATTTATTATTTTATGACACTGAAGTTGGCAAATATTAAAAATTTTATTATTTTATAGCAATTAAAAAATACTAGCAACCTTGCAGTTACTAATGTGACTTCCGTGATTTGTGAACTATAAATAAATAAAATTTTGCTTTATTAAATAATTACTTTTGTTAAATTGTACTGTACTTTTTTAACTATTGACGTTTTTAAAGATATAAGCTCATCCCGATGTTACACTCATCAAGAGCTTTCATTTGAGTACCCATATGCACTTTGATATATTTTTCATATATACATATATGTAATATATATAAATATATCGAAAATTGATGTGGGTACTCGAATGAAAGGTCTTAATGAGTGTAACATCGGGATGAGCTTATATCGTTAAAAATGTCAATAGTTCACAAGATACAAGATCATTTTTTAATTATCAATATTTTTGAAGATATAAGCTCATTTCGATGTTACTCTCATCGAAAGCTTTCATTTGAATACCCACATGCATTTTTATATATTTTTCATATATACATATGTATAATATATATAAATATATGAAAAATTGATGTGGGTATTCAAATGAAAGGTCTCGATGAGCGTAACATCGGAATGAGCTTATATCTTTAAAAATGTTAATAGTTAACGAGATACAGAGTCATTTCTTAATTATGTATCAAGAGATAGAGCATTTTCGAATGCAGCCTAAATACTTATCATCATAAATTGACTATTGGTAAGAATGATATGAAACTCTTAGGGCTAGCTTTTCAATCCAAGATAAAATTTTATCCTATGCCAATATATATCTATATATTTCATGTTTATAGATATACTGGTAATAATAATTTTATCCTAGATAAAATTTTATCTCGGATTGAAAAACTGGCCCTTAATAATAATATAGATTAAATGTGAAAAAAAAAATTGGTAAAATTTTTTTTTATCTTAAATGATTTTTTAAAAAAATTGTTAGCTATAACTAACTTCAGTACCATTTAATTAAAGTAAAATTTATTTTTAATAAAATTGTTATTATTATTGTAAAATTAAAAAAATTACCAATTAAACTGTCAACTTATTTTTTGCTCAAATAAAAAATTATATAAAAAAATGATAGTTACATTTTTTAATTAATAAAGTTCATTAATCTGTAAAGAATTTCACCAGATTATTAATCTATAAATAAAATAAATTGGTCAATTAAAAAGTGTCAGAACACTAAAATTAAATTAGAAAAAAAAAAAACAATTTAATTAAAAGCTTAGACTTATCTAACTCGTCAATCTTTAAAACCGTGGTCAGCTTAAAGTAATAAAAAAAACTAACAAGCCGCGGTCATTAATCTTCGTAGATTCTTCAGTATCTGAAGCTAAAAATCTCTTATCAGAAACCCGAGGTACAAAATGCCGACAGTGGCGCTCTCGAGCGGCTAATTTAAGTACTTGTTATTCAAACCCGGCGGGTAAAGCCGGCGGTTTAAAAAAAGGACTGTAATAAACACCTGCAGCAGGTTGCAGGTTGCGCCCGGAAAACAAATAAATACAGCTGAGTCATTTTTGGGGCTAAAAAATATTAAAAAAAAAAAAAAAAAAAGAAGAGAAGTGAGAGAGAAAAATGACAGGTGGGATTAGATTCAAGAGCGAGAGAGAAGAAAAGTGTTTAGTGGGTGAGACAGATCGATAAAGACGGCTGGACTTGTCGGGGAGGAGGAGCGTCGCAAGGCAAAGCAAAAAAAGGTTTTATTCATTCGCGGATTTCCACGACAATACCCGAGCTATAACGTTTACGTTTTACTGGCGAGGAAAACGGTCTAGTGGACGGAACGTCGGAACAGAAAGAGCCAACCAGTTGAGAAGGATGCCAGCAGTGGTGGTAGTGTGCTGGGAGCATCCAGAGTGATAGTCATAGTCATAGTAACCCAACGAACAACGTACGACGGACAACGGGCTAACCAGTCTACTCCATACAGCTTACAGCTAACAGTGACAAGTGACTAGTGAGTGTGTTGATGCCGGAGTGAATAGAAGGTGTGCAGGCTGGTGGGCCTGATTCAAGTGTCTCGCTAGAGGTGGTGGCACATCAACCTGTACCTTTACAATTTTACAATAACTTACTACGTCAACAGTTTGGGCCAGTTTGTACCGCGGCTTCGAGCGCTAAAGACGTATTTTATGGAGACTGTTTGTTTTCTTCACATTAGTGTTTGTGGTGTCAAAAAAATGATTTATTATTTTTGGTGATGTTTATTAACTAGATTTTATATTGATAAAATATATCAGCTGGAATTTTTTAAGAAATGAGTCAGCAGCTGGTGGAGCAAGTGATTGTCATGGAGATGGAGTACTTTTTTAATAGTTGCTAGTTTTTTAATTTGCAAATGACGGAAGAAGATTGTTTTATTGTGCCGGATTAAAATTTACTGAAAGTGTCAGCTAGTTTTCAAGTAAGTGTAATTTTTTTTTGGTAATTAATTTATTTTAAATGAACAGACATGTGTCAATTTTTTTTATTTTTACAATAAAATTAGTATGAAAAATATTTTTAAAGTAAAATAAAAAGTAACTTTTTAAAAATAATTTATTAAAAAGTCAGCTGATTTTAGTATCATTAAAAAATTACTATAAAAAAATTTTTTTAAATAAATTAGTGTTAAATTAAATGATACTAAAGTTAGCCAACGTTTTTAATTTTTTGATTTGTTCTTTAATAATTAAATTAGAACGAAAAAATATTTTTAAAAAATTTCACTTACAGTTTTTAACAAATGACAATTTTTTTTTATTTTTTTTTGTAGTCATTTTTTCAATAAAAAAATTCTTTTTAATTGTTAAATGTCGGCTAACTTAATTTTCATTAATTTAAAAAAAAAAAAAAAAAATTATAAAACGTCAGTTGATTTCAATAACACTAAAAAAAATTTTTAAAATAAAATAATGTTAATTTTTTTAAAATAATTAATTAAAAACAAATTATAAAAAATCAGCTGATTTCAGTAGCACTTAAAATTACTATAAAAAATTTTTTTTTAATAAATTAGTGTTAATTTTTTTAAAATAATTATAAAAAAGTCAGCTGATTTCAGTATCATTAAAAATTACTATAAAAAACATTTTAAAATAAATTATAGTGTTAATTTTTTAAAAATTATTAATTATAAAAAGTCAGCTGATTTTAATAACACTAAAAATTTCTATGAAAAAAAATTTTTAAATAAAATAAAAATTGTAAACTTTTTAAAAACAATCATTTAAAAAAAAAATAAATTTATTAATTTTTGAATACTGACTCAGCAGGTATAAAAATCAGGAGTAAAAAAATGAAGGAATTAGAGCAGATGCATGAAGTCCCAATGGGCACACGAACGCTTAAATCCCTGCTGAAGAAACCCGGGCACAGTAAACAACGAACGCAGAAGAATCGCGTGACGATAAACGAAAAGTTGAATGAATTTTTTGCTGCGGATTATATTATCCTGATAAAAGAAGAGTGCTGTGGTGATTATGAGGAAGAATGTGATTGCTGCTGTCAGGAGCCTGAGATGATACGCCTGGGGAATTGCAAAGAGTGTCGAGCTGAGTTTACGAGACAATTGGCTGCCGGTGATATTGACACGCGTTTTGCTACCGAGAGAAACGGTAATAAGATTATTGATAACGGTTGTGATCTGTCGAGACGAGTGGGTGCTGGTGTTGGTGGGTGTATCAGTGTCGGTGGTCTCGGGATCCCAGGCAGTGAAGAATCCCAGGAAGACGAGGACGAGGATGATGAAGACGAGGAGGAAGAGTACGAGGAGGAGGTTGATGATGATGATAATGACGAGTCTTCTGAGGAGGCTGATCAGAGGAACAATCCTCTGGCTGGCGATCCTATGACTCCGGTTCAATTGCAGGCCCAGACACACGAGACTCTCAGTCCTCCGGAAGGTTACAAGGACGTTTGTGATGAAGACATGCAAACTGACCCGGCAAATGATATGTGTCCTTCCACTGGAGCTGTTGTTGTTTGCGGCGAGTGTAATTACTATTGTCAGAGAACTCCAGGTAAGAGATCTTATTACTTGATGTATTTATATTTTAATATGTTATTATTATGGCGTGTTGCTTTATTTTGTTGCTCTTTGAGGATGTTGTCTTCTTATGTACATCATGTAAACACTGCCAGGAACCTTATTTCTATAGGAATCCTTCCTGTCATGTGATGATGACAGGATAAAGAAGATAACACCGGATGCGGTTGCTCTCGGCTTTAGTCCGGATACTAAAACCGGTTGA